AAATCAGATATACAAAATCTGAAGGTAGTTTCCTGTAGAGTTGAATATCTAGATCTTCGTGTAAAGTTTTCAGCTCGAAAAACGTAGCAGAACCTGTGAAAAAGCAGGATGTCGACAACCCCTGCTCGAGATATCTCGAAATCTAAAATTGCGTAAAATACAATCTGAAGTATACCCTTTGATCGCTTTGAAAAGGCGATTCCAAAGGTGTAACTTTTACAATTTTTGAACAAGAAACAAAATTACAGAGCAGAAAATCGACAGAATGAACTACGTTAACAAAAACAGAGTATTCTGCAGGAGTTCTTCTGATCGTTCTCGATCGGCTCTGATACCAATTGTTAGTCCCTGTTTCTGTAACAGCAATGAATAATCGATCTAACAAGGAAGATTAAACGTAAAGATGAACACAGAATGAATCACCGTAAAACCTTCTTTGATAAACCGTGGAACGTACAGCAGAATGATATGCGTAAGGCTATGAATAATAAGTACGACGTTCAACCTTTTCCTAAACCTCGGCTCCCTTTTAATAGGCGAGGTTTAGGTTAGGCGTGCCAGGCTTTTGGCCTGTTTAAATGGGCCTAACACTTGGCCTGATTTCTATCTAATTTATGCACTAATTAAATACAAAGATTAAATATAAAGCTAATCTATGACCAACTTGATTCACAATTAAATATCTCCAACACGGATGAAAATTCAACCCCCCTCCCAAACCCAAAAATTTTACACTCAAATGGGTGCAACAACCTCAACCATATCATTTATTACCCCATGGATCTTTCTTTGTCTCTCTCTCTCTAGAAGCTCAACCTTCCTTAAATGGCACTGCAGCTACTCCTTTCTCAAATGGCAGTGCAGGTGCTACTCCAGCTGTACCTGCAACACATAACATTCAAGGGCGTGAAGGTGCAACAAGGTAGTGATCTAAACTAAGTAATGCACAGAAAAGCAGTATGGTAGAAATTGATGGATAGCGTACCCGGGGGGTAGCTTATCCGAAGGGTTATTACGGGGAATAACTTAGAGAGAAGTCATAGCAATAAGTAAAAGAGAGAGTATGTATTCAATGTATGAAATGTGTGTTACAATGAGAAAATGAGCCGCTATTTATAGCAGCAATAAATGTTAGATCAATAATCAGGAGGACACATGTCAAGCATCTGACGGCCGAGGGTCACCTCAATCGTGGTGGCACCGGCACTCGCATGTGCACCACATTAAATGCGGTGGTTGGACACGACGTTGTACTTGGTACGGTGATTCAGCGCATGTGGAGAGGAGATTCTGTCGAGGAGGCTGCCTTCGGCTATGCATGTTGGGCCGAGGGCTCTTTGTTCCCTGTGCCGAGGGCTGTAGGTGCCGAAGGATTGGTTTCCAAGCTTTGTTCTCCTGTGATGTTCCTGGACTTGCTTGCAAGCATGGTAGACCTCGGGCATGGTGCCGAAGGGTTGCCTGCGTATTACGGGTTGCCCCCTTTGCGTATTACGGGTTGCCTGGAGTCTGGTTTCGTTGGGCTTGGCCCATTTGGGCCTGTTGGGCCTGATTGTTGTAGTGGAAGTATGTGGGCCGGGGGTCCCTCGGCCATATACTCCATCAGAAATACTTTTAGCAAATTTGAGTAAAGGAAAACTTCAGAGGGGCATTGTTGGACAAACAGTTGAACAATTCAACTGTTCTAGACGTACGGTTAACAAAGTGTAGGCCAAAGCTAAAAGGCAACTGAATGATGGGGTGCTTGTTAATGTTCAGAGCCAATGTAAGGGAAATGTGGGAAGAAAAGGAGTTGTTTTTTACTTAGAAAATTTAAAAGACATTCCACTGCATCAAAGAAAGAACATCAGAGCATTAGGATTTGCCCTGGACATGTCCAAGTCTTCTATGCACATATTAGTCAAAGATAAGAAAATAAAGAGCCATTCAAATGCCATCAAGCCATTACTTACACATGTTGAAAAGGTGAAAAGGTTACAATTCTGTCTATCTCATATTGTGCCTAGGCCTTTCCCAGAAAAGTCCACTTTTCATCATTTCTTTGATCACATTCACATTGATGAAAAGTGGTTCTTTTTATCTAAAGAAACTAGAGCATATTACACCCATCCAGATGAGGTAGACCCCTACAGAGTTGCTCAAACCAAAAAAATTATACCCAAAGTTATGTTTTTAGCACTTGTAGGTAGGCCTAGGTTTCGGGAGGATGAGGTAGTGCTATGAGATGGAAAGATTGGTATCCTTCCATTCACTTATGAGGAAAAAGCAAAAAGAGATAGTAAGAACAGGCCAGCAGGAACAATCGAGACAAAAGCCACATTAAGTGTAACCAGAAGTGTCATTAAGGACATGATGCTACATAAAGTATTACCAACAATCAAACAAAAATGGCCAGATGCATAAAACAGGAACATCATCATTCAACAAGATAATGCAAGGCAACATATTGTTGTGAATGATGCAGATTTTGTGGAGTGTGCAAGTGAAGATGGGTGAAACATAAAGCTCAGTTTCCAGCCACCAAACAGCCCAGACTTTAATGTGTTAGACTTGGATTTTTGTGTGCAATTGACTCACTGAAGGAACAGAAAGCCCCTAAAACAATTGTTAGTTAACTGAAGTTGTGACAACTGCTTATGATGAGCTAACAACTTACACTTTAAACAAAGTTTTCTTAAGTTTTCAGTGTGTCATGGAACAAATATTGATGCACAAAGGTGGAAATCAGTTCAAGCTCAAACATCTTGGGAAAGACAAGCTTGACGGGCAGAGGATGTTACCACAGAGTATGGAGGTGACTAAATAGGAGTAAAAAAGTTTTGAAATTCCAAAATAGGACTATCATGTTTTTTATTCCCTAAATAGGAGTAAATTTCTGCCAAGTTTGGCATTACTAGGCTTTTAAAGATGACATTTTTTTTTCAAACTTGACAGATTACTTATATTCAAGGAATAAAAAACATGATACTCCTATTTTGGAATTTCAAAGCGTTTTTACTCCTATTTAGGGCAATTTCTATATGGAGATCAATCCTGAGTTGGTAGAGGAAGCAAAAGCTACACTTATACAGATGCAAGCAAAGCCTGAAACACAAATGCAGACAGACCCACTTGCAACTGGGTTCATAAGTGAAGATCAAGGTGATCTTCAAGAATGAACTTAGATTTCCCACTCATTTTTTGTATGTACACATGCAAAGGACAACTTTTTTGTTTGTACTACCTTACATGCCAAGTCTACAATGTTGTAATGTAGGGGCATGGTAGTAGTTTTTGTTAAATTTTTCGTAAACTTAACAGCAAACAAGTTTGATATAAAGTCAAATGTAACAATCAAGACACACTTATTCACATACATTGGCAAGCACAGTAGGTAGCAAACACCTTTGACATAACCTCCTACACAAAATGAAAGTGGGTGGCACATGTTTAGAGGTATTAATGTACACTAGGATTTAAGACACAAAACTCATCATGAGTTTGGTCCCTCAGTTAAGCACATAACCACCACCATCATGATTACAAGGAATCAAATAAGCACACAAGCCCCATCATCAGTACAAGGTATCAAATAACCAAACAAAACACATCATCATAACTAAGGAATTCAATACTCCAGTTGCCATTACAGTAAATCACATAGCCTCTTACACTTATTCAAAGTGGGAAGCACATGTAAAATGTCATCATCAGTTTGGTCCCTCGGTTAAGCACACAACGATCATCATCATGAGTACAACAAATCAAATAAGCACACAAGCCCCATCATCATCAGTACAAGGATTGGAATAAACAAACAAGGCACATCATCATAACTAAGGAATCCAAGACTCCATTTACCATTACATAAAATCACATAGCCCCCTATACTTATTCAAAGTGGGAAGCACGTGTAAAAAGTCACATAGAAAGGGCATGAAAGGGCATCCTCATGAAAACAACAACAAAATCGCCAGATGAGCAATAAATACTTCCCCTATGGAGAGTCCCGAAATATGTCAGCATACAAATATGAAAATAGACAATCAAAGGAGTTCACCTCCTCGCCTTCTTCCACCGATTCAGAAGTGTCATCGAACTAGGAGCCATACCTCTTTCTTAGCGCCTAACCCGGATCCATTTCGGTTGATGTCCACCCGCATGCAACCTCAGATTCGTCTTCATCAGCGGTGGCTACAACGGGATAATCTTCGGAAAATGTGACCACTGCTTGCTATAAATCAGACGGGTTAGGGTTGGGCGGATGTGGGTGTACATCGGAAAGGGGACGGCAATGCATGTTGGAATTAGAAGATGATACAGAGGAAAGGAGACTTTCATCATTCGAATGGGTGAATGAGTTTGATTCCATATGGAGACAGAAGAGGGACAAAGCTGTAGAGAGAGAGAGAGAGAGAGAGAGAGAGAGAGAGAGAGAGAGAGAGAGAGAGAGAGTGGTTTGAAAGGGGAGAAGGTGAAGGGACAACATTTACCCCGTTGGGGAGGTGGGAGTGCAGATAAGAGGGGGTAAATGGGGAGGGTATTGGAGACATTTCAATTAACATTTCTTTCCATCTAAGGAAATGACAACTTCTTTTTGGGACTGCCAAAAAAGGAAAGCAGAAATTTCTTTGCAGGACGGAGAAAGTATTTTAAGGATGAATTACAGATGAAGGTTTAAAAAATTGAAAAAAGGGTCAAATAAATCCTTCTGCTATAATAATACTTATATGATATTTTTTAGTACAAGAACTTAAGTAACAGATTGAATATACTCCCTCCGTCCCGAAAAGGTTAGCCAAATTTCCTTTTTTGGATGTCTCAAAAAGATTTGTCATTTCCATTTAAAGTAAGAAATATGTGGCTAAAATCAATTCTCTCTTATCTGCACAAATTTTAACCACACAGTTTTTACTTTATTAATACATATAAAAGTCAACTTTGGCCAACCTTTTCGTGAAGGAGGGAGTAATAAAAAGACTTATTTGACCATTTTTCTAGAAAATAGACAAAGTCGAAGCTAGATTGGAATCTTGTAGCCGAACTGCCGAACCTCACCTGGCTCACCAGCAATCATCATCCGAACCCTTATCCGAACCAAAATCCAAATAACGAAACGACAACTGAATCGTAAAATTACCCGCCTTCCCCCACCTATCGGCGGGTGTCTCAAATCTTCCGGCAGCGGTGGAGCTTCCCCTTCTGCTCCGGCCTAAACCCTAATCTCATCCGTTTCGAAAATTTCCAACCTATTCTGTTCTAGAATCAACCGCCGCGACAGAGTTATCGAAGGCCGCACTTATCCGAGGTTATCCTCCGCGTTAAAGCTATCCTTGTATCTTTTCCAAGAGTCCGGGAACACTCCCTTAGAATTTGTGTGGCTCTATATACGTACTATGATTTTTGCTGGCCTCTCTTCTTCTTCTTCTTCTTTTCTTTTGAATTCAAAGTTGTGTTCTCTAATTCAGTGTGCAGATTGCTGAATTGAAATTAGGTTAAAGTATTGGATTGGATATGAGCTGATTTTAGCAGAACATGAGTAGACTATCAATCAGGCCGCGTCCACTTGACTTTAACAAGAAGCTTCCTATAGTCAAATCTTTCAAGGATTTCGATGATGACATTGAGATTCCTTCTAATACCCGCAACCAGATTCTCCGCCTTGCAGCTGAAGCAGCAGAAAATGAGGTTCCTTGGCTTCAGCTGAAAGTTCTTTTTCACCTCTTCTTACATAACTTGCTTTTACCTGGTTTCATGTTTATAGTTTGATGCCTGTAATATCTAATAAAGTTGTTCTATTTTGTCGGAAGGCTTTTCACTTAGTTATGAAACAGTTAGCATTAATGTGGGTTGTAATTTCGATTAATGGGATTTCTATATTCTTTTTGTATATTATTGAGATGATAAAATGAATCATGTTTATTAGGTACATCAAGTTTCTGTCAAGAAACTGGCTTCTGAAATACCTACTCCGGAGTCTGTCATTGTAGATACATATGAGAGCGATTATTTGCCCAATTTTGCCCAGCCAACGTCATATATACATGCAAGGGGAGGTATGTAGAGTACATATGTGTTTCGGTATCAGCAAGTTCTCAGCTATAAAGGGTTTTCTTTTCTAAAAAATAATTATTATAGCTCGAGCTGAGCTTGGGGAATTTGTGGAGTATGATCTTGATAATGAAGACGAAGATTGGCTTCAAGATTTCAACATAGAAAGAAAGGCCCTTCCAGCTGAAAAGTAAAGACCTCATTATGTCCTCACTTGGTTGTAGTTAGCATTAAACTCCTTGATCTTTAATATTTATTTAAGGATGTTATTAAATTATTTCATTATCTTCAGTTAAACAACTTATATTTTGTAAAGAACTTTACTGATTGTGCCAAAAAAAATCTGACCCTACAGAATCAAGTGGTGTGGTTTCTTTTCTGGTCTTTTTTCTCTTTCCTACATGACACTCAGTGACTCAGGTAGCATGGACACTTATTCCCCGTGTGTCCCTTTTTAAAAAATAATACTCATTTCACTGAGTTATATGCACGACTTCCTTCTTGAGTTATATGGTAGTCTGTAAATGAAAGATTTACCATGACGTTTGGGCACAAGATTTTTTTAGCTTCCCGCATCTTTCCCTTTCGCTTTCATGTTTTACTTCTTTAGTCTTTAGGTATGTGGTTTATTTCTTTCTCTAATTCCTCACATTTCTGCTCACAGGCTTGAGATGATACTGTTTAAACTCGAAGTTTTAGACCATAAGGCTCGTGAAAGAGCAGGAGCAATTACTCCTACTTTTGCATCACCAATCCCTGTGCTTCTTAGTTTTGATGCTGCTGTTGAGGTGAAAGTCTTGTCTGGCTCATAATCCAAATTACATAAACCACTCAATTCTTTTATCTATAGCCGGCCCCAAAATCTTTTGGGACTAAGGCTTGGATGTCGTTGTACTCAATTCTTTTATCTCAGAAGAATCTACATTCTGCAATCAGTGTCGTATATGAACTACACTATATTAATATAGAATACAGATTATGTTTATTACCTTATTTCAGCCTAGATCCGGACCTTTTCTATCTTAGGTTGTTTTTGAATCATGCTAAATGTTGAGTAATTTTAGACATTATGCATGTGCTGTTAGGAATTGGGCTTAATAGACTGTTGGGAATTGGGCCTAATAGACTAAGAATAATAATAAGTGTATTAGTTTAGTATAAATAGAAGATAGCAGGGGAGATTTAGGGGGTTGTTTTTAGACTTTGAATTTGGGACTTTGGGAGATCGAGAACTAATCTCTTTCTTTGGGGGGCTTCGGCTCAACTGGGGGCTTCGGCCATTTGTTACGATTACCGTTCTTCTTCTCTAATAAAATTGCAGTTTGTTTTCTTGAATCTTCTTCTATAATCTTCTGTATTTCTGTACATCCTTAACATTGGTATCAGAGCACGTAGATTCTGTGGATGGTCTGGACACGGACAAAGATGGATTTGCGGATGAATGAGTTGGAGAATAACCACAACAGATTGGATGATAAGGTGGATAGAAATCATCAACAAACGACGGAGATGTTGGCAGCGATAATGGCCAGATTGGATGCAAGCGATCGAGATCGATCGAGAAGTAGGTCGCATCGCTCATCTGCATCGCATCGCACTTCTCACCTTCATCATTCGCGACACTCAGCGAGTTCTGAGAACTCAGAAGGGTACGACAACCGTTCACCACCACACCGCCATCACCATCGCTGCAGGGGACATGATCTCCGCCAACGAACTGGAAGAAAAATTGACTTACCAATTTTTAACGGAGAAGATGTTATGGGATGGCTGGTAAGAATGAACCGTTATTTCCGCCTGAATCATACGGGGGAAGAAGACAAAATTGATGTTGCCGTGATAGCCATGGAAGACCAGGCACTGAGCTGGTTCCAATGGTGGGAAGGCCAGGCTCGTCACCAGACTTGGGAGAGTTTTACGAAGGATCTAAGCAAACGTTTTCAACCAAATTTGGTGCAGGATCCTCTGGGATCTTTGTTTAGTTTGAAGCAGAAAGGGACGGTGAAGGAGTACAGAGATAAGTTTGAAGTTGCTATAGCTTCGCAGGGGCATCTGACTGAGGAGGTACTTAGAGGAGTGTTTCTCAATGGGTTGAAACGAGATGTAAGGGCTGAATTGAAATTATATCCTACAAGAACCCTAGCTGCTGTCATGGACACAGCTTCCTTGATTGAAAACAAGAACCATGAAGCCAACATCAAAAAGAATAAAGATGAGGAAAAGAAGATTCTGAAAATAAATTCAGCAGGTGGACAGAGCTATCATAAATGGGGAGATGGTAGTAGAAATAGTTATAATCTGACACCTACAAATCAATTGATGAAGAACTCAAATGATAACAAGAAGCTGGAAGAAGGATTAAGTTCTGTCTCCAGGAATACATGCCCCAGATTATCACAGAATGAGCTGCAAGAAAGAAGTAAGAAAGGGTTATGTTTTAAATGTGGTGAAAACTGGAATCGGGGTCACATTTGTAGAATGAAAATTTTTAAAATAATGATGGTAGAACAATCTGAAGGGGAGGAAGAATCTGAGACTGACTTTAGTAAAGAACAAAAAGAAGAAGGAATTCTTATGGAAGCTAAGACTATGCAATTATCTGTGTTGAACAAAGAAGGAACGCCACTCATGAGAACATTTAAAGTCTTGGGAAATCTGAAATGGCTGATTGAGGAAAAGAAGGTGCATATTTTGATTGATTGTGGAGCTACTCACAATTTTATTTCACAGAAGATTGTTGAGGAATGGAAGATACCTTTTGATTGCATTAAGGGGAATAAAGTGCAGTTAGGGAATGGGGAATTTCTTCCCAACTATGGTAGGTGTGATGGGTTAACAGTGGTTGTACAAGGAAATGAAATTTTGCAAAAATTTTACATTCTGCAATTGGGGGGAGTGGATATAGTGCTGGGAATGAGCTGGTTAACTGGCCTAGGGGATATGGCAGTTAATTTTCAAAATCAGACCATCAAATGGGAGGTACAGGGGCAGAAGGCTAGTATACAAGGAGATCATCAACTAGGAACAAATAAGGAGATGAAGAGCTTGGTGAATAAGAGAGGAGAAGGAAACTTGCTGAACTATCATGTGTTATCTATTGATATTGAAGAAGAAAGTGTTCAAAAGCAAGAAGTTGCTGTCCTCGGTGTTGCAGCAGGCGGTGACTTCACCTCCACAGAATCTGAAAGAACCAAATTACAAAAACAAATGTCATGGCATCTGTGTATATCCACTGTGAAATACATAGGGAAGAAGATGGAAGCAGCAAAACTAAAAGTCCAGCAATCCATCCAGTATTGGAAAGGGAGAGGTGCTAGGATGAAGGAAAAGAAGAAGATGGTGGCTGTGTCCTATCACCCACCTTGAGGGCAAGGTGGATGTTTAGGGGGGGAGAATTGTTAGGAATTGGGCTTAATAGACTGTTGGGAATTGGGCCTAATAGACTAAGAATAATAATAAGTGTATTAGTTTAGTATAAATAGAAGATAGCAGGGGAGATTTAGGGGGTTGTTTTTAGACTTTGAATTTGGGACTTTGGGAGATCGAGAACTAATCTCTTTCTTTGGGGGGCTTCGGCTCAACTGGGGGCTTCGGCCATTTGTTACGATTACCGTTCTTCTTCTCTAATAAAATTGCAGTTTGTTTTCTTGAATCTTCTTCTATAATCTTCTGTATTTCTGTACATCCTTAACATGTGCTAAAATGCGGGAGTTGTGAAATGCATTTAATCCAATCCATTCCTTATAATGCATTCTTGCCAACTAATTCACACTGTTTTGTTTAAATGCTAGGCTTTGCAATCTATTTCCACTACATATGGAGTTTTCCAGTCTATTTATAGCTACTGGAAAGAAAAGGTATGAATGTGAAATCCATAAAAATTAAAAAATGAATGTATCATGTTTAATTTTGTGTAATATAGTACGTAGTAATAGTAAGAGTTTTACTCCTGAGAGGGGGTGCAACACAAGTATAAACATCATCCAGACAGTAGTTCATCATCACCACTTTCGCATCTTAACCCCAACTACATTTGGGTCGGTCATTGGTGGCATGAAATATATAGTGTTGATTAATTGTCTTGAATTAGTTAACACTAAATTCATGGAAAGCAGTGCCAAAGTTTTATGGTGGTCATGATTAATTTTCTCTCATCATGGTTAAAAGTGAGAAATGACAACTAAAACCAACTTAACTTCATAACACAAGGTCGATTGTTTAGATATTTCTCTTCTTTTAGTTTCTGAGAGATGAACTTTCATGCAATCTTATCTTATCCGGTTGGGTTTTCATTTTTCTGTGCATCAGCGTGAAAGATGGCAGAAGCCCATTCTTCGGCGCTTGCAGGTTAGTTGTGTGGAGACCATGGACTCTATTAAACCAAAATTGTTGTTTTTCTGATAATCGTGTTCCATACTATCTGTTCTCCAGCATCTGTTACATGTTTTCCTTCAGCAAAACAGTGATTCATTTAGTTGTGGTCTCCATGTTGTCTAACGTTACAAATCTTGCAATCTTTTGCTCCAGTGGAACTTGATAATCCAATGGTTGCTGTTTTCTTAATTTGTTTTGCAGCCACCTCCATCTGTTAATGATACTAACCCATATAATGTATTTAGACCAAGGGAAAAGGCTCACAGGCTTCACACTAGGAGGGTATGTGAATGGAGTGCCTCATTAGTATACTTTGTTGTGAATATTTTGCTGTCGTAGTTAGTTAATGCTTTATCTGAGCTCATCATCTCTGTATTTGTGTTTTAATTTTCTTTCTTTCCCCAGATGCAAAGGAGGGAAAACAATGTTCAATCCTTTGAAAAGCTTCGCCAGGTGAGCTTCATGTCCATTTGGGATGCCAATTTTTTGTTTCTCTTTTCATTTACTTGGTTTATATTTGATATCATTTCTACTTCAATAAAAAAATAAAAAATGCTTTTCTATGCGGGTGTAACTTCAATACAAGGTGTGGGGGGTCATGTTTGCACTCAGTGTACTCACATATCAAACTTCAAAGGACACTCGTATAAATGTTATGGAGCTATAAGTTGTATACTTGTATGTATTTTTGCATTGATACTATTTCTGAGACACGCATGTCAGAAGATAGTCAGGCACTTTGATTCTTGTATTGCTGGTTGAAAGTAACAAATAACATGCCATCTTCAGGTTAGACGCAACCTTGAACAAGCAAAGTCCATTCTTGACACTCTTGTGAAGGTATGTTCCTAATGGATTAAGAAGATAATTTTTATTATATGTGCTACTTTGCATAAACTTGCCATTGAAATTCCTGCAGAGAGAAGAGAAAAAACGAGACCTTATGGAGAGTGAAGTTAGCCTTCAGAGGATTCAAATGCAACATAAGGTATGCATAGGAAATTTTCATTTTTCCTGACACATAGGTCAACAAAATAGATCATTATGTCAGAAGTAGTGATCTATTTTATTTACATAGTGATGTGGTTCATAAAACAAATAATTTTCCTGTTAGGGAAATGTGCACATCTTTTCCTAAAGATTGCGTGAATAGAAATAATCTACGAATTTAGCATTTATGTATTTTCACTCTTGATATCAGTGCTAGTATATTTAGTACAGTCTTTGCTTTCCAGAATTTGTTGAATGAGATGGAGGACTAGATGACCCTTGTGACTCAATATTAGAAAACCTTATTTGCTTCTGATGTCAAATTAGTCTGTAAATAATTAATTTAAGCGGATGCTTTAATGTGCTTCCAGAATGATACTGAGCTTCTAAAAGATATGTTTGCCCTACAAGGATTTCATTCATTTCCAAGCATGGTTGGTTCAAGTGATGAAGAATTTGTTGACTCAGATGATGCTGATCTTAGCCACCCACCCAAACGACCTTATATGGCGGTACATAATCATCCTTCCTTCGACCCAAAGATCAGGTTGGGTTCTGCAGGAAGCATGAGGCGAGTGTTCAAACGACGTCAGGCCCCAAACGGATGGCTCCAAAATTTGGTGCGTGTTTGCTTCTCTGGTTCATGCTTGAGAAATTGGTCCACGTGCTCATTTCACTTCCCAGAATAAATTATGGTCTTTTAAGACTTAGGATGGAGAGTTTTGAAAGGTTTTGGAGTGGAATGGTTGGGAGGTTAGTTTATATGTTGATGACTAAAATATTTTTAAAACCAATCAAGGGTTGATTGAAATGTCATGTTATCATATATTATGATGATATACAACTTTAATAAAATCTAGAATATATATCGAGATATAGACTTAGTCCTCCAAAAATTCATCAAAAAACTTCTTCCGGACTTACCCTTAGACCTTGTTTGGGAAGGTGGAAATTGAGAAAGATGTGGTTTGTTGAGAAACCATTTCATTTTCTGGCCTGTGGCAAAAGATAGAGAAATGTTTTTTGTGATTGTCAAAAGTGATAATTATAATGATTAATGGCCATGACAATTATTTGAGAAATCTGGAAAATAACTTCTGGTGGTGGAAGGAGAAGTGTTTAATGTCTTGTTGGTATTATTCTTTGACAATGGAGGTCATTCTTCATTGACTTCATTATCCTAGCAAGCCAAACACATGAACATCTGAATAAGACTTCTAGAAGCCATTCTCCGCCTTCCCAAATGGTTCCGTGTTGGTAAAGCAGTGGGTCATTTTAGGTTGTGTTTTGTTAGGAGAAGAAATAGAGGGTGGGAATGTTAGGACTGAGGAATCGAAAAGAAGAGAATTAGGTAAGAGGAATAAAGGTTGTTCACTTGTTTGGTTCAAGAAAAATAGAGTGAAAATGTGGAAGAAAAGTTTAAATGAAAATGGTTTTTTGGGCAAAAAATATTTTGTTAATGTCACCAGCATTAATGGGTGTAGAACACAATCCAATGAAGTTTTCCCCACTTTCTCTCATTTGAGCATAGAACAGTTTAGGTATGGGACCCACAAAAAAGTTTCATACATCCAACCTTTTTTATGCCCTACCCACCATGGAAAATGGAATTCACTTCTCTTCATTTTTTCTCCATCCTATGTCTCTTTTACCAAACACACCATTAGGTACAGGTAGTCACTAGTGATGGATATATGTATCTCCTTATAATAGTGGGGTAACTGCAGGAGCCTGGGGAACCTGTTTTGCTGTTCACAAAGCCTCTGGATCCCGAGAGACTGGCAGCTGCAGGCATTTCTATGCCTCCATCAACAAGTTCTTCTCCACGCTGTCGTGGGCGTATTGGCCGGGGCGGCCGACTGGTGTTTGACAGGTGGAACCTGCTTATGCACACACCCATTGACTGTGGAGATGCTTTATACGTAGCGCCAAAGCCTCGACAAGCCTCTCATTTCTGACAGTCAATTCCCTAGCTTTACAGAGTACTGCTTGGATATCATGGAAAGCTTTGCTGGTAGAGAGATCAACCAATTGTTTCAAGTTAGTTGCTTTCTTTTCAAAGCTATTACACACTAGTTAGATAAGATACTCTAATTGTAATTTGTGGAAATGTAATAGTATTTGTTTAAGTTATAATGAATTATCATGCTCCATCACTTTTCTTGATCCGCTTTTCTTTTGTGCAACTTTATTATTACTTGCTCCAGCTTCCATTTTGACCACTGTCACAATATGGAAACACAAGTCTTACTTTTTGGTATTGTCTAGCTTTTGATATTCTTTCTCCCGTTTTTTTCACATACCAGAATTTCACTACCACTAGAACTTTACTCTTATATTGTGAAGTTCCCACTGGACCTGATAAAAGTGAAAGGAGGGAGTCATTGTTTTCATATGTATGTGTAGCTTATATGTCTAGACTATGAATTTATGTTTTTTTTTGCGTGTTTGATCATAAACAAATTACTAGTATATGGGAAGTTGTTCTATATAGGAATAAACAGGGTTTTGGAATTTCAAAATAGGATTGCCATGTTCTTCATGTTTTTCTTTGGGGTAAAGCCGTAAAGGTGCAAATAAGCCCTCGAACTAACCGAAAAAGTGCAAATCACTCCTTTTATAGGAGGCTTTGTCCGGCCGTCGTCATTTGTGGCGGTTCCCGGTGGAATTTTTTGATGATTTTTAAGCATCTTTTTCATTAAGTCTAGTTTACCCATTACCAAATTTCAGCTAAAAATTCAACCGGGAAGGCAGTCAAATGATTTTCTGAAATATATTGCGTTGTTTAATTGTGTAATTATCTTCAAACATTTATTTGACTGACTTCCCAAATCCCGATTGCATTTTTAGCTGAAATTTGGTATGGGTAAACTAGACTTAATGAGGAAGATGCTAAAAAAAATCATCAAAAAATTCCAGCGGGAACCGCCCCAAATGGCGATGGCTGGACAGAGCCTCCTATAAAAGGGGTGATTTACCCCTTTTTCCTTTTTTTTCGAAATAGGAATTGTTACCGACTTATAATGCCATGATTGAAAAATGTTGTTATTAATGATAGTAAATACTAATTTGTCAATGTCTAGTACTGCAACTATTCTGGCAGTAATGACTCCAAGATAGGGATGGACTCGGGCCGGGTGGCTCGACCCGGAACCGGCCCGGTACTGTTCCGGCCCGACCCGGTACTGTTCCGGCCCGACCCGGTGGCCCGGTCAGTGACCGGTCCGGGTAGGCCCGGCCCGTGGGTTTTCCGGTCCGGGCTCGGGTCACCCAAAACAAGGCTCGACCCGGCCGGGCCCGGGCCCAGTTCGGGCCAAAAACTATTTTTTTTTCAATTTTTTTTTAAATTTTCGGGTTGGGCTGGGTATTTTGGGCCATTTGGGGTGGTTTGGGGGGTTGGGGGTGGGAGGGGGGTTGGGGGTGGGAGGGGGGTTAATTAGGAAGAGGAAAACAAAAAAAATATATAATGGGCCCGGCCCCGGTGGTTACCCGGGCCGGTCCCGGGTCCACCATTTCTGACCCGCCGGCCCACCCGGGCCTAGGCCCGACCCGGACCCGTCCCGGACCCGAGTCCATCCCTACTCCAAGATGACAGCAAATTCTGCCATGTTATTCTTATTCCGGGAAGAAAAACATAGCAGTCTTATTTTGGAAATTCAAAACATGTTTACTATTATTTCGGAAACCTTCCCCCGTAACATTGGGGCATGAGGAGGTTGCATGATTTTTAAGAAATGTGAGTTTATGTGGTTGATATTGATATATTAAGAATATTTTGGAACCAAACAAACTTTTTCAAATTTGGTACAAGACAATCTTAGCATAACGTAAGGAGTATGATTTATGAATGTACCAAATAATGAGGAGAATTAGGTGCTCGGCATTCTGATTTTTTGTTTATGATTTGGCCAAAATTGTTAGAATTTATATCTTCTTATTCTTGCTGGTGACCTTATCATCACTGTGTTCATGTGCATCAGTGCATCATAGTCGTTTTTGTTTTGCCTGCATATGCCGCATAGTTGATCGAAACTTGTGGAGTCAAGTCATTATTGAGTATTTGAGTTGTTTCTATCAAGTATAAGGGTTAGAACTTTTGATAAGACTGAAAAGTTTTATTCAAATATTTTGCCCCAAAAAGAGTTAATTTGATCAATTTAGTTTTTCGTGTGATTTGTCAACATTTTAGCAAAAAATATTGTGTATAGTTTGAACAAAATGCTTGAATAAGGATGGTAGTAACTAGTAAGTTTCCTTTTTTAAGTTTAGTACTACGTAATATATTTGGATAATTGGTTATTTTTAAGGTGATTTTTTTGAAAATTATTGGAAATTAAATTATTGGAAAGAAAATTTGTAAGATTTTTTTGAAAATAATTTGTAAGAAATTTTAGGGGTAACAACAAATTGTATAAGAGTACTATGATTTTATCGCTTATATATGAGAGTAACTAGTGTGTTATGCTTGAGAAATACTGTCAAATATGCATTAATGCTTCATATTAATTATTGGTAATACAAAAGTATGGCAATATAATTTTAGAATGACATATGTTACTCCTATTTGGGAAGAAAAACAATATTCATATTTAATTTCACATTGTTTTTATTCCTATTGAAAATTTTCCCAACATTTATTTTGCCTTATTTGCATTTTACCCGACCTTTAGAATACCACCAATCTATCAAAAGACCCTTGAAAAGTTTGTCATTTGAAGTCTGCTCAAGCTCCAGTCTGGAATCCTTCCTATGCAATTTATTCATCCAAACCCAATCCAAACGGGTCAAGCAGGAGAAAATAGCCACCGGAACCTACACATTCTATACACAATAACATGAGAATTTATTCTGTATTAATTCCCCTGTCAATTTTTCTGATAAGATGTTCAAAATTATGATAGTGATAATGTGGGAAAGTTATACATCATATTGATCCACATCATACAAAATGGGGATTTATTAACTAAGATCATAAAGGGAAGAGTTCAAGTTGCAGCATCGGTGCAGGATAAAATTGCTTTGATGACATAAATTGGATCACCAACTCTTATTAGCTTTGCTCCTCCTTCATTAAGGGATTCAGCAGAAACCATATTCTGTCCAAAATACACCTGAAAAATGCATAAGATGAAATTACAGTTTGCAGAGAAACAGGTTATATTGTTTGACGTGATTAGGATTCATTTTTCGAGAAGACGTTTACATTTCCCTTTTGTTTCTTGTTCGGAAGCAATACTTTGTCCGAACGAAACTGCTTCAATGTCACAGTTGGTTCACTCCCCACTTCTGCTGTTTCTTGATTGATTGTAGGTACCTGGAGTGAAATACCTTAACATATAAGAGTCCTCTAAGATCTTGTGTGTTTTGTATCTTTGCATTCGTCAAATATCTTAACATATACTGAGAATTACATTTTCGTTAAGGCATGGAAGTAACTTCTGAAACATTTCAGAACTTGATAAATCGGCCATGAAACGTTTCAGAGAAGCTCAACAGTTGTCCTAAATATTTATAAGGCTAAAGGGTCAAATAGGCCCCTATATCGGTCGTTAAAGGTTCACCTGTAACGTTTCAGGGTGCGAATTGGATCTTTTTTACCGGTTGTTTACCTGTAAAAAATGAAATTTGAACCCTTTTTTGCCGATTCGGGGTGCGATTTGGACCTTTTTCTAGTTCAGAGACTGAATTGAGCTTACACGACCGGTACAAGGGCCTATTTGACCCTTTAGCCTATTTATAAATAAAAAAATACCTTGCAACGACTGCATAATTTAACACCGTAGAAGGGGAACTTGCTTATGAGGATCTCCTTCCATAAATCTTCAGCATATTGTTCGCATCCATCAACAAGTATACTGCGTGGATAAGAGTAAATATAAAACACCAAAGGCTCGGCTTGGTTCAGTGATGAAATAAACCATCCTTTGCACGAATCACAAATCAGCAAAAATGGTGCGCCTAGTAGATTCTTGTAGTTTGAAAATCAAGAACCAATTGGACCCAACCCAAAGTCCGGTTACAAAATCATGAAAATAGTGTATCCAAAACAACCTAAATTCATTTATGCATTCAAGAAAATAAGTAAAAGAAACACAAGATACTAAAACTACTATCAGTACACAACTTTATATGCAGTAATATGCTTGTGAATGTACATTCATACATGCATATATGCAAATACATCTTATTAACCCCATTTTGATTATAGCTTAATTTAACTCTCTTAACAAATTGTCCAGCTTACTCTAGAGGTCCTTAGGAATGAGTTGCATCATTTTTTAACCCATGATACCCAATTACCATATACCCAATCCATCCCATTAGAGTTCGGGTGGGTTGTGTACCCACAACAACCCATCCTGCTGCCAGTCTGCCACAAAGTAATATGAGTGAAATCAAGAGGCCAAAAAGCACATACTTGGGTCTAAAACGATTCACTGGAATTGGCTCCTCGAGAAGGGCATTTAAGGCATCTAACGACCCCTGCAACAAGTTAAGAAGGAGCCTCTGTGAGACTTAACTCGGCCAATAGGTTCATTGAAACCAATGCTCCAATATACATTTGACTAACTTGTGATATCATGAGGAACGGATAGCCGTCACTAAATTTAACTTTGTATCCGTTGGCATAATTGGGGTCCACGGGTCTTGTTTCGAAGACTGCACAAGGCAGGAAGAAGAACTAAGACCAAAATTTAACTTGTTTACTACATTAGCTGAATCAACTGATATTTGAATAAAAAAGCGCAAAAGTACATATTTATTTACTCGAATGAAGATAAGTGACCCTTAATTACTTAGTAATTAACCTTCATTAAAGCGCACTAGGCGAGCGGGTTTCCCGAGATAGTTCGAGAACCATTGTGATGCTTCTTCACCCTCATCAAGTCCAGAGCCAGACCATTCCCACACTGTAATGGTATCTGTTATTGTCTGAGGACAAGGCTTAATTGATAATGGAACTTCCAGTGCATCCATACCAGGGGCCCTAATTACTGCAGAAGTGAATCCAGTTAGTTAGTTTAAGTTGTTAAAAGGTTAGTGTCTACCAAATCATATGGTGGTAAAAGTGGCTTCAGTTGAGTCTTGTGAAGTACTGAAACTCTCGAGAACTCTCCAAACACTTACTTTTCTATTAGAAAATGATGTTTCCTGTTTCATGTTTTCATGTTTCCGTGCAACATACGTTAGGTCCTATGTCAGACAAGTAAAGAAAAAATAATACTCCTCCCGTCCCTTAAAACTTTGCCAACTTTTCTTTTTTGGATGTCCCACTAACTTTGCCACTTTCCTTTTTAAGTAAAGATTTTGTGGATGCAGTTAATTCTCTCTCCTCTGCACAAACCTCAACCACACAATTTTTACTTTATTAATCCACGTGCCGGTCAAACTTGGCAAAGTTTTAAGGGACGGAGGTAGTAGGTTAATAAGACTACGGGTAATTAGTTAATAGGTTGGATCCGTTTTATGTCTTAGTTCGGTCACTCCTGAAGTATTTCAGTTCCATAAACTAGCAACTGGGAGCATTAAGAGTAATGTATTACTCCCTCCGTCCCACCAACAATGGGAAATGAGCGGGTGGCACACGGATACCAACAAAGGTGTGTTTATGTGGTTGATAGTGAATTGATAAAGTTAGATAAAGTAAGAATGATTTAGAACCACACAGATTTTACTTAATTTGGTATGAGACAATCTTAGTGGGACGGATCGAAAAAGAAAATTGGGACAATCTTAGCGGGACGGAGGGTGTACTTCCTTACCAAGATACGAGTGCTTATTTGGTTCCCAACCATCAGATAGAGCCTCATTTGGTAATTCAGTTTCAATTAGAGCTAGCTTTGATTCAACTCTTTGGGTAATGGCTCGACCTTTTGAATTCACAACCATCCACTGTCTGTCCCATCGAAATCCTGCTCAAAATTTTAAATCCAAAACAAAATACCGTATAAAAAGTGAGATAAGTATAAGAGGACAGTTAATCCAATTAATGCTTGAAACTTGTTTTGCTCGATGAAAGCTTATTTTGGTAGATGCAAATCTAACCCTCTCCACCATGAAATTTTTGGATTTGTTTTAATGTAATTTAATTTTTTCCATGTTTTTTCATAGATAATTTGATACCAAACAACCTAACCACATGGGAAACAATGGAAGTTATAATATCCCAACTCTTATAAGTTAATGCATCAAGAGTTGTCATACTTAAAAATTATTTAAACCTATAAATGACTAAAATCTAGATTGTTAGAAACAACACTAAAGAAATACTCTCTCCACCCTGTTAAAAGTGTTCATCTTTCCTTTATAGTCTGTCCACTAAGGTTGTCTCACATTTGGTAACATTTTTATGATTCTAAATCATTTTTATTTTATTTTCGTTTTATCAATTCAATATCTACCACCTAAACCCACCTTTTTGATAACTGCACCACCTTCTAGTGTACCAATGTTATGGGGACGGATGTAGTATTAAATAACACAAACAGAATTTAAACATGATAAAGAGGGATATATGAAATATATATTATATCCTTTTTTTATTTATAAAAATATTTTAGAAATAACTATTTCATACTAAGCATAGTCATTTGACTCATTTCAGCCCTTAATTTCAATAGTTCAACACTTCAACACATTCGACAGATTTAGCTCAATTCTAATGCTACTAAACCGCCTCTTACTTTTGGGCAGCCACGCAGGTAGTACCTACTCGAAGACTTGAAGTAAACGTACACACCAAAATGGTGTTTCTTTTTTTCCCATGAATTGAGGGTGGGACCCTCAGAGATGGTGTGTCAATGTGTCATCCTTTTTTTTTCTTTTTCCCCATGAAACCAGGACTAGTAAGGTACAATTCAATTTTGTGTTACGCTCAAAATTGTGATTACAAACTCAAAATGCCCTTTTGGTGTTTCCATTGGTTAATCATATATCAAATCAGATAAGATTTAAACAGACTAGATCAAATTTTGATGGTTGTAAAATACACGGTGAAATACAAACAAAGATAAACAAAGATCATATATTTACCTGACCAGACCATAACATAGACTTAAATAGGCCAGAGCCACCAGACTAGATTTTGATAGTTGTAAAATATATAGATACCATATATCTACCAAACTAGATCAGGTCAGATCAAACTTAAATAGATTAAACTAGATTAGACAAAACCAGACCTAAACAAATAAGACCAGAAAATTTCAGTCCAAATAAAATATCCTTACTCTCACATTCAACAAATCCTTCTACTTTTCCAATTAAATTGAAAGTATTTGGATAAAAAATTCACTCGTTATTCACTACTCTGTGATTATAGTGCGATGTACATTTTGTCTAAGGATAGGTGTCATCCTTTTTTCTACTTCTTCTTTTCTGGCCCCTTTCCCCTCACTCCGCAATTTACGGAGTATTTTTCGTGCACCACAATTCCATTCACTTTAAAAAAGAAACTATTCTTTTATAGATCTACTTTTTCTTTCTAAGTGGCAGAGTTACTTGCACCTCCACTTCGTTTTGGGTTAGAACAGAATAAGGATCCCAGCTTCTAATTCAATTCCTTTTATTCTTTCCCAATTTACATGGGTGAAATTGGAAATGACCATTATATTTATATTCCAATGCAAGCAGAGTCAAAATTCATTTTTTATCAAACCAAATACGAAGTATACTACTAATTCAATTGTCGGTTCGGTTCCAAGGTTAATATAACTCAAATATAGAATAAACAATAGCGAGTATAAGGACTAGTAATTATTTGATGGTTGATATGGGTTTTTGATCGAGTTAAAATGACCGAATTTGTATACACAAAATCACACCATAGTTCCCTAGTTGGGTATTATTTAAAGGGGTTTAGAATTGATTATGCTTCTTTTGTAAAAGTACAAGTTGAATAACAATCACTTTTTCAAGAACTGAATAACAATCACTTTTTCAAGAGACGAAGACTAATTATACTAGACTTAAATAAGTTGATATCTCTCTCGCTTTTTAAAAAACTACTTATAAGAGCAATTTATACATCTTAGAAGTCCTTATGCATGTTCACTCAACCATTCCAATATCTCTTTCCGCGTAAATAGATTATAAAGCTTTTAATTTTATGCATTTACGCAAGAGCAGTCCATGAATTTGTGTTGGATTTGGCTGAAGACTAATTATACTAGACTTAAATATTACCAGGTTAGTTTAATATGAAAAATGAAACAATTTAAACTAAAAAATTGGAAAAAAATAAGTTACCCTAAAGTAGGCCTGAACTTCAACCTACCATAACCCATACAAAGATCAACCCCTTGATCTACTAATAATGGTTGCAACTATTTCCCTTCTTGTATTCTGCCAGATTCCATCAAATATTCAAATCCCACCACCTTAAAATAATTTTAAAGAAAGTTCACAAATTTGAGCTTTCCCAGCTTCCAGACGGTGTCAAAGTCATAATGCATAGATGCAAGAATTCAAGAAACTGGAAAAGATACAAACTTTAATTCAGAGAAAGGTAAATGTGTTGTACCAGTTGGGGAGATGGGTGCCTGAGAAACGGAGATGCCGCGGCATGATTTGATTGGGTAAATGAAGATTGATTTTACCCTTGCAGCAGCAGTTCTTCCTCCTCCTTCACTCATTCCCTCTCTCTTTGTATACTGATTCAAATACAAGATGGCCAACATCTTGCCCCTTGCCCATCTATACAAGCTGGTTGCAATCCAACGTAGTGAAAAGGCCATGTTTTGAGCTATTCAAAAACTTATACAAAGGTATACTACCATGAGTTCATGGAGCTTCAAGAAAAGCTATATTACAGAGTTTACAGTGACTTCTTGTATAAGAGGGGCTAAGAGCAAGACGCGGGACCCATGGAATCAAAAACCTACTTTTTTCATATTCCCCCAATAAACATATTTTGTCCCGTTTTACTTTTTTTATGGGTCCCATTAAATTTGCCTCATATACTTCTCATCCCTTAAAACTTTGGTCACTTTAATTGATACAGAAAATAATAAAATAAATATTTTGTGGTTGAGATTGAGATAAATAACATGAATCATAAATTAGTTGTTTAAAAGAAAAGGTGACAAAAATTTTAGGACAATCCCAAAAGAATAGACGACAAAATTTTAAGGGACGAGGGGAATATTATATGTAATAATATTTGGATAGTTACAAAACATTGTTACTTGTGAGTTATATTTAAAATAAAAGCCTATTATCCTATTATGATTTATGACCGTACTGGATATTAAATGGAATAAAAAGGTAGTCAATGTACACATAGTTTTCATTGATTTATGTGAGTGGTCGGAACTGATTGTACTTCTACTACTTTTTTAAAAGAAGAAATAGAATCAGAATCAGTTTTCATAAACGTCTCTTATCTTTTAAAATATTGCTCTTATGAGCAATTTAGAGCACCCAAAAGTATTTCTGCATTTTCATCCAAACAGTCTAATATCTATTTCCGCTCATTGTAATGGAAAAAGATGGATTTCATCATTGCATTCGAAGCTTATATGTACACTACAAACAACACGGATTTGGCACGATTTTTGGCAAGAATTCGCAGAAATTTGTAGAGGACACGGCAAATATGGCCTTGTTTGGCAAATGGCTGTTAGTTGTTGCTGTCAGTTGGTTGTGTCAGCTGTTTTCTAATAGTTGCTTGTGTTAGCTGTTTTGACCGACTAATTATGTTAGCTAATTATAAATAATTGTTTGGTAGAATTGGTTGTTTCAAAATGACTGATAGAGTGTAACCCATCTAAAAGAATGAAAGAAGCCAATCTAAAAAGATATTGGTTGTTTCCTACCAGCCATTTTTTCAGCTTTTCGAACTCAACAAGCCAATTTAAAAAGATATTTACCAAACATAAATATTGACTGCTTTGACTAATGAAACAACTAAATTTGGTCAAACAAGCTAAAAGTTGGCTGATAAGTCATTTGCCAAACATACCTTATATGTCAAATCCGTGTCAAAAACACTTTTTGACAAGAACTATTTGATATGAAATCATCGATAAATCCATGCTAAATTTGGGTTAATTGGGTAATTTTTTTGTAGCGGTATCTCAAAAGCATGCCAGGCCGGTCTCCTCGTCATTTCAAGGCAAAAACCGCAAGAGTTTGTAAAAGCTTATACGGAGTAGTTGTTTTATACGGAGTATTAATATGGGTCATGGCTATATGATCCATCTCTCTCAATTATAGGTTCTTTGAGTTTGTTTACCTCTTCAATTCACATCAGTTTAAATGAAATACTATTAATTAATCCGTTTCTTTAGTCTGATCTCTTTTTGTTCCTAAAGTTTATATGCATCCATTTATTTGTATATTTGTATTTACTCAGTTTTTTTTTTTTGAGAAAATGATCAAAATGATACATGAAGTTGTTTCAAGTGGAGTAAGTAGTATCTCATCTTACACTTGAAACTACAAAGTACATGAATTTGCAATTTGCTCTGTTAGAACGTTAAAATAGCTGATCTGACCAAACTATCAGTTTGTAATATATCGTTGCAGCCCAAGTCATCAAATAATCAAATAATTAATCTATAAACTCTAATTTCCTCCGGTCCACTCGTTTTCACTTTCGCTCTTCATCTTATACTTCTAATGTTTGTTCTCTATTCTCTCCGCTCGTCATCTTATATTTCTCTCGTTTGCTTTACAAGGGTGGAGCCAGGGCACTATGCCGGATTGGACCAGTATAAAGAATATTTTTGGGGAAAAATTACACAAAATTTTTACTTTAAAATTAAAGCATTTTTTAAATTTGGGGTGGATCAGGACCTAGGTTGACCCCCTCTAGCTCTGCCACTGCTGCTCTCCTTCTCTCTAGGCTGCTCTCTGTGCTATCCTGCCTGCTTCTTCTTTTATTTGCTATTGGTCCATCTTTATTATAGTAAGAGAAGGAAAAAAATAAATAGAGCAAAATGAAGTTGATGGGATAGCAAGGAGAGCAGACAGAAGAAATATAAGATGTAGAGCGGAGAGAAGAGAGAGCAGACGAAAAAAATATAAGATGATGAGACTGTTAATAATAATAATAATGATAAGACTGTTAATAATAATAATGTTGGAAAACATAAATTTTCTCTGTTTAATTTAAATCACAGGCATAGTAGAATTCATCAAACACCTTAGCTTTTATTGAAATTACTACGTACGTAACTACAGGGGCGGACCGTAGTAGAGACCCAAGGGGGCTACCGCCCCCCCAACAAATTTTTATTAGTGTATATATATACGAAAAATAATTTTTGCTCTTCCAAAAAGTATTTTGGACCCCCTCAAAAATATTTTCGCCCCCCCAAAATGACTTTCCTGGGTCCGCCCTTGCGTAACTACAACATGATTCATACTATCGACTATAGTAATTTTTATATACTTGATTTAATTTTCTAGTAAGAAGAGTAGCTCATTAATCTGTTTTTGCTAACTTATATCTAATTTAATTTGTCATAGATGAAGTCTATTACAAATACACCGCAACTGCGATCTCCTAATACATTCCTTCTCCTTCTTGTTGTGTGGATGATTTCTTGGGATCATTCCCACTTGCAATGAAGATGTAGTTGCTCACCATGATGAAAGTTAGGTGTTTGGTTTGATTTAGTGCAAAACTTTTCTTACTTTTTCAAGATTAGAGATGACAATGGGTCAGATCGGGGACAATTATGCTTATAATTGTAACTGCAGTGTTGGTTAATTTTTCCATCCCTTAACCGTCCCAATGGGTAACTGTTATAATCGAGGGTAATCGCTTTATTAAATGAGTCATTGATTGGACGACTCTAGACGTTAAATGCCACTTAAAAGTTTCATGCATCTACAAGACAAGAAAGAAGTCAACCTAAATTAATTTGAACTTAAAAATAATTAAATTGAAAAATAATTAATCAAGAAAAAATATGATAATAATGAAGCGAAACTATTAAAATCTACTATGAACTTTCATTCATAAATTATAGTTAGTACATCCATGTATACATAATGAAAAGAGAAAAATCTCATCTTTTATTAATTGTGAGACAAATAATAGAAAAAATGTAATAAAAATATAACTACAGATTAGGGAAAATAAATAAAATAACCTGAACATTCATTATGTGTGAACTCCCTACCCTATACTTGTCTTGTTTTAAAAAATACCTCCCACTATTTGAATTTGAGATGTCTGCAACCTTAATTTTTGTAATGATCCAAATAAAATACAAAATTGTCTATGGACAAACACTTGTCTACTAGGGACATACGAGTGTACACATTTTGTAAACATTTTGTATACACGCATTTTTCTAGTTTTTATTTGGCAAAGTAATATCTGACTGTAATTCCTAATTCCGGAAAGGCAACGTGGATTCAAAACCCTCGTCTAGAGAACTTCCAACTTGCAAGCTTTTGAGATTACAGAGAAGAAGACGATGCATATCCCAACTAAAAAACACAACCCGGCGTATCAAGTTTGCGGTTCACTGTAAGTTGATTACTGTGCTAAGTATTTACAGTGTGGTTGATAGATTAGGGTTAAAATTGTATTGTACCATGGAAGTGGCCCATTTCGTGGAAGATGGCTCACAGAGTGAAGAGAGTGACTTCGAAAATGTTGAAAGGGAGGATATTGGTAGTGGTGGATCTTCAAGTGATGAGGAATGGATTGGTAGTAGGAAAAAGCTTATTTCCTACAATTTCAATATGCTCACAGAAACCCAGATGGACGGGTTGGAAGCATCTTATGACAGTGATAAATCTGAAAATTATTTGCTTACACCATATGCAAGTGATGAAGAAGGTAAAAGTGGGACAAACAAGGAAAGTGTTACATACAAAGTTGATAATGATGCCACACTCAAAATGCTAAAATGAAAAGTGGGTATGAAGTTTGCCTCACCTGAAATCTTCAAGAAACAAGTAGTGAGGTATGCTGTTATTGCAGGGTATAGTATTAAATTTAGTAAGAGTGAAAAGGTCAAGATTGCAGCGAAGGGTAAAGAGGGGTGTGTTTGGAGGATATACGCTTCATGGGATGGACCGAAAGAGTCATTTGTGGTAAAGTCTTTGAATCCTAATCATACTTGTAACAAACAAGATTGTGAGAATATACAAGCTAAACCAAGGTGGTTAGCTGAAGAGTATTTGGAGGAGTACAGAAAAGATCCTAACTGGTCGAGGAAAGCGCTACAACAATCAGTAATGGAAAGATTTGGTGTGCGTATTCAAAGGTTTACTTGCTACAATGTAAGGAAACAAGCCTTAGGTATTTCTTTTGCGTAGGTTGGTGTAGCGTATTTTGTGGTGCATACCTGTTTTTGTACTTGTAAATGTCCTTGTTTGGCAGCCTGCTATGTACAAGTCATGCATTGGTCTGTATTTTGCTTATCATTTTTTGTTACTACTATAGAAAGGCCATGTTGTGAGCCTGTGATTGTTATTTTGTTGTTTAAACACAAACACTCAATCAAAGAAATCATGTGTTGATTTTTGTTCATTATATTGTTTACTGGTTTTGTAGTATGTAGTTACTGGTTTTGGTGTGGTTACTGCAAATTTAAATACTATGGGCCTGATTTTGCAGACATGTACTATCAAGGCTTGTATAATAGCATTAGAAAACCAGAATGCCACAATTTCAAATCAAAAAAATCAGAATGCCACTAACCAAAGAAAAGATTTGTATTAATCAATAGCATTGTTTAGTTACAGTATTTTCTCCTACATATTACAGTGCAATCAAATACTCATTTTCACCATCAGGGGTCTCTTTTAATAGCTATAAAAAACTACTACTCAGTACATTTTACTTATAATAAGTGAACAAACAGAGACAAAACGAAGAACTACAAATCTAGCCAATACATTTCAATCTCTATCTTTGATATATGAATGGCTTTCATGTTCTCGAAATCAGATTGCAGCACCATCAGTGCAGTCTTAACTGCATTCTTCTTCTCTTTTAGTAGCATATAATTTCAGCATTTATCAAAACATTCTTCTATTTCCATAGTCTTGTGTTCACTGCCAAATTCCAAGTGCTGCAAATGTAATGTTTGGTCACCCACATCAAGAGTAGGAATACATAGAAGTGGAAGGAATACACTTAGACCCACTAGGGAAGACTTAAACATTATACTGACACTCAAAATTCTGAAGGCCACCTTTGCATTCTCTGAACAGACATTAAACATTTTCCAGAACCAAGTTGAAGTCTTCTTCAAGAGCTTCTAAGACAGAAACCTCTCTGCACACAGGGGACGATTAAGGCCTTCGTGAGAGCCGAACCACATGAGAAAATGAAACTAGCGAGGATTTAAACGAAGCCATAAACGCTGCCCTCAGAAATATAAGGTCTTCGAATCTGGGATTTTGAAGAAGCCGTCGGACTGATACATTCATGTATCGGCATCTTCCGAGTTCCGGACTTCCGGCCTTGGAAGAAGACGAAGATGCAAGATTTTGGGCGAGTAAGCCCTGTATCTAATTGACGGTGAGCTGGAAGGGAGAGAAAGGTCTGGGAGACGGCAGAGCACAAGAAGAAGCCTATGAGAGTCTTCTTTGTCCAGGGCTGTAATCGTTCATGGCTTCTTGTGGAGTTTATGAAGATATGCGTGGGTGGTTAGATAGCGAGGAGTTTTCAGGGTAAGCTAACCGGGTCTATTTAAAAACTTTCTAATTCAAAAATAAATTCAAAAAATTTAAGATAGGGTACCCGACTACCCGTATCTCAAATTCAAAAGTGAGAGGTATTTTGTTTAAACAAGACAAGTATAGGGTAGGGAGTCCACAATTAATGAAAGTTCTAAGGTATTTTATTTATTTTTTCCCTACAAATAAATGGTGTGAGCATGTATAAAACCGTAACAATTCTTTTACTCATAAAAATAAAATGAGTATTCTCTGTCCTATACCGTTACCTGGTCAATGCGGTTTTCCTCGTTTTGACCGGAACGGTTCAGTGAATTTATCCATCCTCGTTTTGACCGGAACGGTTCAGTGCAGTTATCCATCGGATCAGTCACAATTGTCATCCTTATTCAAGATGAAGGTCGAATCAGAATTGCAATTCACTCAAGTCTCTTCATCCATAAAACATCCAAAGAGAGAATCATGGCAGCAAATATCCATTAAAGGTGCGAATGATTTATCTGTGCGGGTATGTTTGTTATTTTGGTCGTTAGAGTTTAATCTTTCGGAAGAACTTGAAGCATACAAATTGTAATTGTAATATAGCACATACTTGTGTAAGGGTAAAATAGAAATTTGAATTTATTTTATTTATTTAAAATTAATTATGTGATTGCAATTAGTAATTTTGTGAGTGTTAATAGAAATAATCTTATTTGATAGTCAATCAGATGTCTGAATCTTCTAACACAGGCCCAATTTGATGCTACCAATATTGGCCTGCCACTTGCTCCTGAGGTCCACAATGGTCATTGCACGTGTTCTGGATTTTTATCAATAGTAGTCCACAATGCTAATGGAGTCCCACTTCGTGCACACGCCAGGTTACACGCCGGTCAAATTGTCTGTGTACAAATAATTTGACCTGCTACACAGACAATTTGACCGGCGTTTTATGAAGAAAATTGATTTCTACACAGATAAAAATAAAGAGTTGTCTGTATCACAGACATTTTAGACGAGAATTTCTCATAAAATGTTTGTGATACAGACAATTTTAAACGAGAATTTTGAACGAGAACATTAAAATGTTTGTGATACAGATTTTTTTTTGTTTGTGTGAAAATCAGTTTTCTTCATAAAACGCCGGTCAAATTGTTTGTGTGGCCTATCAAATTGTTTGTACACAGACAATCTGGCCGGCGTGTAACCTGGCGTGTAAAAACTGGCGTGTACAAAGGGAATTTTCCATGCTAATGTGTGGTCCGAGGAATGTTCAGCAGGAACCATTATTGCATAGACGGTAGAGTTGTTCTTTTGAAAGGAAGAGGCTTATATTAATCTCATTGAACCAAGCATCCAAACATCCAATTAACTTACCCTAGACACCATATAGCCAATAGACTTTCTCACTCCCTGATCAACATAGAATAGACTGTCCAATATCGAACAAGACTAATCGTCGAACATGTGAGAGATTCGAAGCTATTATTGGCTTGACTAGCCTGATTTCTTCCACTCATTCTCGCAACAAAACACCCACAACTCACAATTATTAATCGAATAAAAAAGTACGGCAAAACAAAAAATAAAACTTAAATTTAATGAAAAAATTAGCGCAAGAGCACAAGTAACAAAATCCAATCGTGAAACGTCAGCCTCTGATCCTTGGTTCTGCAATCTCTCTAAGGTGGTGGTTCAAGAGGGGGGCGGATCATCAATACTTTGTCTTCCTTGTTTATCTCGTCATCCCTTCCCTTCTCCGACCTCTCTATGTCCCTTGCATTATCGTTCATCATGTTTGGACTTTGGACCAGATTTGCCATTGTTTCTGTCACCCAAGGTTTGCATCTTACATGTTGTGTTGTCCTCCATCTTCCCGTTGCTCTCTCGCTGAAGAAGCTAAACAAAAGACCAAATGCCGATGACTTAGTGCGGCTCCAAAGCCCCAGCTGACAACCTAGTGCGGTTCCAAAACCCTAACGGTCGAAGGTGTTCCCTTCCGATTTTTTTGAAAGACCTTTTCTAAGAAAAGGACGGTCGAGTTGTTATATATATAAAGATCGGAGTTTGTTATATTAAATCCTTCATTTCGGGGATGAGTTCCATGTTGATTTGAATTTCAATTACTAATTTTTATTTTGGTCTTTACAAGCTTGTATATACATATGAAATACTATCATATGTGATAAGCTTGTAATGTGATATAATCTATGATTGTTAACGTCATACTTCCACACTTGTAGTCTTTTCATAGTAGTTTTCTATCTCTCAAATATAATCACATGTAAAGGAATGTTGATCTAGAGAATATAAATCAATTAAATATACAAACAAAAAATATATAAAGTAAATACACATATAAACTAATGAAGCTTGGAAGTGACATACACCGACCATGAAGAACATGCAGAATTGTCCATAGACAGAGGACACCTAGGCAAATGCCCTAGGCACCACAATTTTGTAGGGCACCATTAAGAAATCTAAGAGTTTTACATATAATAATAATTAAAATGTCTGTAGATAATACCTATATAATTATTACTATACACTTAACTGAGGTTTGACCAAACAAAAAAAATAGTCACAAGAAATAATCATTGATATTCTCTAATCTTAGACGCAGGGACGGAGTTATGTGTAAATCAAGGGGGCCTTTGCCCCTCCCAAGATTTTAATTTTTTTAGTAGTTGGCCTGTAATTTTTTTCTTGCCCCCCCCCCCCCCCCCCCCATCCTCACCTCCTGGCTTCGCCACTGCTTAGACGTACCATACTAGAAATTATCGAAGTAGTAATAATAGTTAGGACTCTCGGAGCCTCATACAATTCCAAATTTAAATAAAAAAAGCGACAATCTCCACAAGATCAATCGGTAATTAGCCAACGTAACTCATTCTTCATTGATTGGTATTGCTAAGACGCACTGAAGATCACAAACAATAGGTCATTTGTCCAACTTACCAATTTTTTAGAAGTGTTATTTTCAATTTCGAAAATGAAAGACCGTCAATACTCAAGCTAAGAGAAAAGTAATTTCGTATCCCTGGTGCAAGATGAATTTTGCAAATTCATTTTCATGGTAAGAACACTATTAGCAAAAGTTATTGTTTTATATTAAATTTAACTTTACATTGAATGAAGATTTGAAATATTCAATTTCAATTAAAATTCAAAATATATAAAATCTAAATTTCAATATAAAATATTATGCAAATACTCTGGAAATGACATCTTATGTCTAACAATTTTCACTAATATCAAGGTGTAATTTAGTTTTTGCCTAGGGCCCAATATTTCCTAAAGACAGTCTTGAGAAAATGTAGGAGTTTTGATTATTTTAATTCATCCATCTAAGTGCACTAACCTTCTACACCATGGTACCATGCATGATTTTAAAAGGCAATTGAAGCTTACACATCTGAGGCATTGAAGGTCTAAGAAGATGCTACTAATGTTCCTTAGTCAACTCGTATGAGGATTTTGCCATAAGGTGGCCAAGTCTTCAAGCGTGAGACTAATTGACTCTTAAGCTTCAATTTCAACACTTTGTTGGTATGAGTAGTATTATCAACTCTTTTAAGCTAATCTCAAATATTACAATCACCCTTTATTATGAACACAACATCCTCGTTGCGTCATAAATCAATATCCATCAAACCCCTAAATATTCCCATTCTTAGTCCCCACCCAATGTCCAACGGATCGGCACAGATACTAATTTGTAACACCCCCAAATTCTTACCCAAAAATACATGCTATAACTAGCAAGTTTAGTAAAACAATTCCAAAATGTTAAGTTCAAATTAGATAACATTGAGCTGGAATAAAACATTCATTGGATGCTACAATTGGTATCAGAGCAACCATGCGACAATGTATTGATCTTGTGGATAACGAACAAGCACTTCGCGTGGGAGCATTCTCAAGATTTATTGAGATATTCGTCCTTTCGGGGACATCCGATAAAATTGGAACGATACACCGAAGATTGCATGGCCCCTGCACAAGGATGACACGCACAAATCGAGAAATTGGTCCAAACTTTTTTATCATCCTCTCTCTATAAAGTATAATCCTCGTCATCGAAGCATCCTCCAAGCAGAACAAGAACAATGGCGCCACCAAGGAGGAAGATGAATACAATTTTGTTGGGATTTTGAATTTGCAGCAACTTGCGTATGCTTGACCTTGCTTGTTTTGGGGATTCAGAATCGGTTAATTGGACGCGCTCAAATTCAGCATGAGTTTTGAACTTTTGGAAGTAGCTCTCATGTGCTACATTGCTTTCTGACCATTGCGATTGTTTTCATGGACTTGAGGTTTACTTTTTCTACCCTATCAAACATGGATTGTTCATCATTCGTGTGTTCAGGCATTGCAATATATCATAACTTGAGCGCCCACCATGAACTTTGAAAATATCTGGACGCAACAAGATGTTCATTTCCTTTCATAGTTGTGGGTGTTCACTTGGTTTGTTTGTTGGACGGCTTGTCACTTTGGATAAAGGCATGTCGGGGAAAAGAGAGAGTAGATTGACATCTCGTTCATATCCGAGTAGGTTGATGATACAATCACGAACAACACAAAACTTGGCTTCCTGGGTAGATTTGCTTTTACTATGACTACACATATTGGATGTTTCTTTGGGGGAAAGTTGAGATATTCTTATGGGCACAATGAGAACGTTGTGATCCTAAGTGGGAGTGTTTCACGCTAGCAAGATTTATAGAAATTCGAGAAATGCATACCTCTAATTGGCAAAATTTACATAAATTCATTCTCAACAGTCAACATAAATGCATATTGTTGCAATTTGCAAATGAGACTTTATATACTTACCTTTTCCATCTTAGTGCATTATTTATATTTATTCATTCCTTACAATTAGCTTTCCATAATACTTAGCTATTAGTAGGGGTGGATTCCGTTCGGGCCACCCGGCCCGTGACCCGGCCCGGTACTGTGCGGGCCCGGGACCGGCCCGGTCGGGCGGTCCGGGACCGGGTGTGGACCCGAACAGGTGGGAATGGGCGGGGCGGGCACGGTTCCGGAAAAATGTGACCCGGCCCGGCCGGGTCGAGCCCGGGTCCGGGTCCAACGGTCTAATTTAAAAAAAAATGTTAAATCTGTACTACTAGCCGTTATGGGTGGGCTGGGGACAACCCAAACGGCTATATAGCCGTTGGGTGGGGTGCTGGGGGAGTCCGGGGGGTTGGGTGATGGGGGGGGTGGGGGGTGGGGGGTAAAAAAACCTATAAATACTCTTAATCTTAAACACTTTTTCATATCTCTTCTCCAATTCTTCCTAAATCCTATTCTTAACTCTCTACTCTCTAATTCTCTTATTCTCCATTCTCCAATATATTATATTTATTATTTATAGTTTATATTAATTATCTACTTATATTATATAAACTATAAATAGATATAAATAGTATTATATTACTTATATTTATTATATCTAATTATATATTACTTATATATTACTTATATATTTATTATATCTATTAATATAGTTGGGATTATATCTAATTAATTTGAAGTCATTCTATTACTCCCATCCGAAAGACCGAAAGTCCGAAAGAGGTACGAAATTATTGTATTATTTACACTTGTTTAATTACTAGTTAATTTGCTACATTTGACTCTAGTTTAATAGTTAGATAAATAGTTAATTACTTTTTTACAATTTTTTATTAATTGCTACATTTGACTCTAGTTTAAAAAAATATGTTGTACACAAAACTAGTTAATTCACTAGTTAATTTGCTATAACTCGAATTAATAGTTAGATAAATAGTTAATTAGTTTTTTACAATTTTTTATTAATTGCTACATTTGACTCTAGTTTAAAAAATATGTTGTACACAAAACTAGTTAATTCACTAGTTAATTTGCTATAACTCGAATTAATAGTTAGATAAATAGTTAATTAGTTTTTTACAATTTTTTATTAATTGCTACATTTGACTCTAGTTTAAAAAATATTTTGTACACAAAACTAGTTAATTCACTAGTTAATTTGCTATAACTCGAATTAATAGTTAGATAAATAGTTAATTACTTTTTTACAATTTTTTATTAATTGCTACATTTGACTCTAGTTTAAAAAATATGTTGTACACAAAACTAGTTAATTCACTAGTTAATTTGCTATAACTCGAATTAATAGTTAGATAAATAGTTAATTAGTTTTTTACAATTTTTTATTAATCGCTACATTTTTTAGATGGATCGTCCTAGATATTCGGTTGATATGGGTAACCTCGAGCGCAATCGAACGAAAGAGCTTGCGAGGAAGAGATCCCGCAAAGGTAAATCACATATCGGCTCTTCATCTCAAAGTCGAGATGATTTTGATACGGGTTACGCAAGGAGGGATGGGGATGCAATGACCGACGAACAACTAGAACAAGAATTGCACCGACATAATTCCCGCTTTTTTCAAGACCAACCGAGGACCATTGACGAAGAAGAGCTCGAGGACGAGGACGACGATGTGGAGGAAGTAATTCCGGAGAGCCACGACGACGAGGAGGAGGAGGGTGGCGGCAGCCATGACGCCGACCAACCAGCCTCATCCCAAACAGGTACAAAAAAAAGTACATCTGAACTAATGGCTAATAATTTTTCTAAGTGGAAGGACCCGAACACCGGGAGATGGACCGCAACTTGCAATTGGTGCAAGAAAAACTATAGCTTGGGGATTTCCGGCGGATACAGATCCGCCACAAGACACCTTAAGTCCAAACACCCGGTGGAGTATGCAAAATTAGGCGGCGGAACGGGGAAGCAAACGCAAATATCGAGGTTTGCAAATAACCAACAAGCTTTTGGTAATTTCTCATACAATGATGCACAAAATTTGACAGGTATGGCTAACTTACTTGTTGAAGAAAATTTGCCTTATTTGTTTTATGAAAGTCTTGCTTTTCGTGATTATGCACAAACTTGTTTAAATCCGCAATATAGAGGTTATAGTCGCAAAACGGTTAAGAAAGAAATTTCAAGGCTTTATGGTGCGGAAAAGGTAAGGTTACAAAATTATTTTGCAAACTTTGATGGACGTGTTACTGTATGTTCTGACATATGGGAGGATACTTATCATAATTTACATTATTTGGGTCTGACTGGACATTATATTGATAATGATTGGCATATGCATAAACGTGTCTTGCTTTCCGTGAATTTAATGATCGTCACACCGCTGAACATATTTATATTTTGATTGAGCGTATTTTAATTGAGTATAATTTAATTGATAAGGTGTTTGCTATTGGTTTTGATAATGCTACTAATAATACTGCTGATATTCCTAGATTGCGTGAATTGTGTGGTTCTACTTCTTTGATGAGTAGATTTTTTCATCAACGATGTGCATGTCATGTTCTAAATTTATGTGTGCAAGATGGTCTAAAAGCGTTGGGAGCATCGTTGGAGGTAGTCAAGGGGAGGATTAGACTTATTTGGGGTAATGGACAACTTAGGAAAAAATGGCATGATTATTTGATAGAAAGAGGTGAGAGATATGTGGCTTTTCCTAAAGATTTGTCTATTCATTGGAATAGTACCTATAAGTTAATTGGAGTTCTTCTTAGATATAAACAACATTTTCCTGCTTTTATGAAACAATATGATAACTATATTATAAACTCGGCTGAGATCGACACCTGTGAAAAAATTTGTAATGCTTTGATATATTTTAATAATGCAACTGAAACTTTTAGTCATGTTTATAAACCTACCTCAAACCAATTTATTCGTGAAGCTGTTAATCTCGCCGGTGCTTTTTCAAATTTTGAGAATGCTGATTATGTGAGTTATTTTGCTAGTTTTATGAAGGAAAAGTTTTTAAAATATTATTCACATATTCCGCATATTTATGGTATTGCATTTGTTCTCGATCCTCGTTTTAGACTTGGTTCTTTAGAAGAATGTTTGAATTATTATTATGCTTCTTTTTTTGGTCCATTGCCAATGTATGAGGACAACCCGATTGATCCGAAAAAAGAATACAACGAGGTTAGTGATATATTTTATGTATTATTCAATGAGTTTGATTCACAATATGGCAATGCGCCCCCTCCCCCGACACAAACATCATCTAAAGGAAAATCAATTTTCAAATATACGTTTGCCAATCTTATTAAAAAAACGAAATCAACTCCCGCTACATAACAAAGCACAATTAATGAGATTTCTTTGTATTTAACTTATGATGTTGATTTTGAAGAAGATGATTTTGACGTACTAAACTGGTGGAAGGGAAAAGAAAGAATGTTCCCGGTTTTAGCAAAGATGGCTAAGCAAGTGCTATCAATGTTCGGCCGACAATGTCCTAACACAAACCAGAACGAGCTTGAGCGCTGAATCTCTTGAGATGCTTATATGATACCACGATTGGTTGAAAGCAACCCGTAGAGCTCAAGAAATTGACATCACCCCATCCCAACACTTTATGAATGAATCTACAACCGAGGATGGCTCTACCTATGCCGGAGATTCCGATTGAAATATTGAATGATTGATTAGTATTTCATGTTTTAAAAACAATTATAGTTCCTATTTAATTTTCAAATGCAGTTCCTATTTCATTTCAAATAAATGCACTTGAAGTTTGTTTTTTAATACTTGTATAAAACTATAAAGTATAAAATATAAATTAAAACAAAAAATTAACCGACCCGGCCCGGCCCGGCGGGTGGCCCGACCCGTGACCCGGACGGGTGGCCCGGCCCGAACCGGACCCGTCCAACCCTCGGGCCGGTCCCGGGCCCATGTGATACGAACCGGCGGCCCGGCCCGAATCCACCCCTAGCTATTAGAGACCGGAGAAGAAGGAATCGACGGTAGAGGCAAAACCGGCAAAGAGAAGCAAAGGGGTGGAGGCAATACCGGCGAAGGAAGTAGCGGGAATGGAATTGAAACTCGAGGGCGAACAATGAAGATGGAAGAGGCGCAGTAACGTCGACTTCCTAGAGCGACATATGAGCATGAACTAAATTGATTTAGGAAAGAGAGTTCATAGTTATAAGAAGGGTATATTAATAATGTTAGGTCCTATTTGGGGAATAAAAAACTTAAACTCCTATTTAAGAATTTCTACTTTGTTTTGCTCCTATTAAAGGCAATATCTTACACAAAAAGTGTACACTTGTGTACAAATAGTTTTTCTTTTCGAAAACAGCAATGACAACGGCAAATCGTAGATTGTACAAATGTATAGTATTTTTCTGACACAAAAATAAGTGATAGAAATAATTAAGAGAATGAGTATGAAATCATTCTCATGTTCTTCATGAATTAAACAACGTTTCAATTTATTATTGAACATGATTGTGATAAATTATTCATTTCCTAAACATTTCCCTCACTCAATCCCACCGGTATCACTATAAGTTTTCAGAAACATAGTTACCTATAGGCTATAGCTATGAATTTTGGACTAAAAAATGCAAGAAATGATTAGTCTGCTTTCTGGGGTCTACAACAACAAAATCACTTCCTAGTTCACCCAATCCTATTCCTATTCAGAAGTTGAAGCAGCATTTCAGACTTGAAGGGGGTTCCTTTTCTTCCGTGCTTTAACTTTTTCTTCAACTTGAACATTTTGAAGTTAAATGCATACGATCAGGGCAAAAAATGGCAGAAAGGAAACAATTCAATAAACAGTATCACTTTATGTTTTCCCTTTTTGGTAGTTTACTTCTAGAACAGAATTTGGTCTTGATAAACCTCAAGTGTTTGAATGACCTTCTGTATGAACAATTTCTTGTCCAGCCTATACCTGTCAAAAAGAAACAATTCCTAATACTTAGTTAGAAGTTGAATGGTTCAACCGATCAGATTAAGATTGCAGATGAGATCCATGTGGTAGATATGGAAACTGTTTACTGACTTTATCGCTGCTTGAAGTGTGCTCCTAGGTTCAGCCAAAGAATCTGTTCATAATAAGCCACATATCTCAAAAGGTTACAATCATAGGACATTACACAAAACTGTTTGAGAGAAATTAACCTTATTTAAAAAGAGACGCAACACAACAACATCTAAGCCTTATTCACAAGAGTATGGGGCTGGCTAACATGAACCCAGGCAATATACATATGATATTGGAAATTGACATATGATATTGGAGTTAAAACAATAATTAGAGAACCTATCTTAGGAGAAGCTATGATGTTAAAAAATAAAAGGTTGGACTAAACTTAATGTCCCCCAAGTTTTATTGTTTAACAATATCATTAAAAGTGTTAAATCTTAGCCCTCTCCGTATTGCTCATCCATGATATTAACTCAATGTAGCAAACAAGCAGCAAGTTAACCCGATCAAGCATCCACCACTCCACCATAATATCTTTAAAAACAAATTTTCACCTCTTGCCAAAGAACAGTTGTGGCTTTAAACTAGGATCAACTTTTTCATTAGTTAGATCATGTATTTCTATGCAGTATTTTATCATCATCATCATTACCCCAATGCCGCAAAGGCTCCCACACCTTCGGTGGGGTAAGGGGGTCGGATGTACGCAGTCTTACCCCTGTACTAAAGCACAGAGACTGTTTCCGGATGACCCATAGTGAAAATCGCATCCAAAATTGCTTGGACTGACTGCTGCTTCATAACAAAGAAGCGCAGACAGTTTAGTAAGTCATTTTGTTTTATTCCATCATATTCTCAAGTCAAAAAATAGTGAGTCTTTGGCTCTATTGCAAATTATGGAAAATCTATGCAGTATTTTATCTTTGCTTTATTTTGAACCAGCTCAATGTAGAAGTTATTTAAACCCTTCAATTGGCCATATTTGACTTGAGGTCAAAGATGTCACACTTTGACCAATATTTCAATCAATGTGTTTTAGTAAAAAATATAATGTGTACTTTTACGAGAGAACCCTTGCGAAATATGAACTTTATATTACTCTCACATTACAAATCATTTTTCATGAATATATATCATTTTGGTAAAAGATGAAAATCTTTTCCCAAAACTATTAAAGCGAGGCAAGGACTGCTAGTTATTTAACCAAAACTAGTTACTGTACCTAGGATTTTCTGGTCTTCCTCAAGAGTTGTTGGGAATGAAGCCAGCATCTGGCGGCATTCATCTCGCAATTCCTTCACAGCTTTCCTCTCGAGACTAGGAATTGGGGGCACGTCTTTATTTGTCCACATAGGCAGTGTTCTTGCTGCTGCTATGACCGCTCCATCAACAAAGCTCTCTCCTCCCTTATTTGATGATAACTCACCTGCTTCCATATCATACAACTACTTTAAATTTTAAATTGGGACCATCCACTCAAAAAAGATCTTGAAGAGAGGTAAGCTTTATCTCACACTTATATATAAGATATGAATTTGATATACATCCCATTTGGACACTTAAAAGTTAAAATGCTTCCTCAGGCCAACCCGGTCGAACAACTTGATGTGGACAAAAGGGCCAAACTGACTCCAAATAGACTACTCAAAACCATAAGTCCCAAAAAGACTAATACACAAAGCCAACCGAGGCAAGCTCCGATACGGACCATACGAAATTTGGCATAACTCGCCCTAAAAGGATTTTCTAGATGTCAGGCTTACCCCATAGTCCCATTTCCCATACTGATACCCTAGATATAGATTTGGTAAACATGTATGGGACATGTAACACTAACAAAGAAAAAACGGTAACCAATTAAAGAATGAATGAAGCATGGGGCATTACTATTATGGTAATACTCTTCTGGGAGGCCAGATATGTTGAACACTGATAAGAAAGAGTCCAGATGAAGTTGGGCATTTCCAGAAAATCCAATGACATCCCAAGGATTCTGAAATTAATTAATCGAGAAAATTCTATTATGTATAACTCCAGAGAAATATACATAACTCAAGAGGCAAACCATCAAGAAAATCCTGAAAAGGTTTACACGGCTTCTGGATAACATGATGCTTATAAAATATGCAAACAAGAGATATCAATATTTGGGTTACCTCTGCTTCAAAATAGTTATTCAAGGTTGTACCACAGATATCAATAAATTTATTTATCAGGTATAGTTATGTGAGTAAAATAACAACATTGTCTTTTCAATAGCAAGTAACAACACATGAGATTGATAAAAAATAACAGAAGGGTAAAATTCAAATGAAACTTTAAATTATTAAAATGCATCTTCCTTCCTAAAGTGATGGTTATTTTGAAACATAGGGCATTACATTTTAAAACCAAAATCAGCAATTATATCACTTTTGACACATAGTTGCAATAGAGGACAACGGGTAGTTTACAGAGAGTTCTTAAAAGCAGAGAGTGAAGATAAAAGCAATCACCGCTGGTGATGAAAAACCATATCTTTGCATGAAAAGGTTGTTCTTCTGCCCGGACATATAATTAACTCTCATCTGCACCATTATAAAGCTTAAATTAGATAGTTATTAACTTATTATTGAACTGCAGTTAACTTGAGTCAAATATAAATCAGATGATGCATTTACATGGTGTGGATATATAAACTACTGTATCGTTTTTTACATAATTACCTCTTCTCCTTTTTTTATTGGTTGGCCAGCATTTATCATCACTTCAAGCATTCTGTCCTTGAAACGCCAATGGAAAAAGCAATTTGGCTTACAGGAATGATTCAGCATATCTGGAGGATTTAATAATATATATCGTCTAAGTGACCATTCTCATTCGAAGAAAGCTTACTATTCATAACACATGGACAGAGAAAATCTTCAGGAAGACAGGAAATGAAAAAAGAAATAGCTAAAATGGGGAAAAGCAAGAGTGTCGGTTGATGCTAAGGAGCCTGTGGTGGACTGGCAGTGTACTTGAATTTTTATTCAGTCACTCTATTGGTTCTCAGAAGGGAGGCCTTGGCGCATCGGTTACAATGTTGCTACGTGAGTTGTGACCAAGAGGTCACAGATTCAAGTTCAAGTTTTGGGAGCAGCCTCTTGTCAAAATGGACAGGGAAGATTTGCTGCCTATACACTCTTGTGGTGGGTCCATTTCCCGAACCCTCTCCTTGCGGGGACGCCTACATGCACCGAGTAGCCCTGTACTCTCTTAGTTCTCAAATAACTGACCATTAACTAAATGCATTATGTTCCTAAATAGCATCAGTTTAGAATTACAATAATAAGGAAAAGTATAGTAAAACCACTGAGTTACCAACACATATTTATAGTTGAAGATTCCATTTGCTTTGATGAATGAAACGACAAAAATTTGAGATCTAAAGAAGCACGAAATTTGTTTACCCATTTCGCCTTATTGACTACTTTGGGGGCGATACCAAGCCAGAGTTTTGCACTAACTGTTGAGAGATGGAAAATACAACAGAGGAGCTATTTATAGTAGGGATGCAACCTCAAGCCCAGTTTTAAGCGGACTGGATAAAAAATCCCAAAATGTTGGATAGCCATGATTGGATCGGATACTACAGCATGGCTTGGTGTACAGACTACACAATCCAACTACTTGCATCACTTTTGCGTGTTATTGGTATTATTTGTAATACCCTCAACCAGGATATGTTTGTCAATACATGACAAAATACATGTCAAAACTTTCATCAATGGGCACTTATTTGAGACTAGAGGGAGTACATGTGAACTATTTTAGAATTTAAAGTAACATGGCCTTGTGGTTATGACAAATGAAGAAACTCATACCGGCATAAGGGACTAGCATATTTGCATCTTTGACGAGAGAACCAATCCTCATCTGCAAGTTGATGCATCGTGATTGGGCCATACTCACAGCCCAAATGAATCTCTCCGGCTCGGGAGCAAGGCGCTTTATCTTTAGGGGCACGGCAGGGTACTGAACACATTGATTATATTAACAAATGAGAATTGAGATGGAACGAGTAAAAGCCTAAAAGGTAATCATGTAACATTTCAAGTCACCCTTTATTCGTTTTTAAATGTTCAACTCATCAAGATATAGACTAAACTCTCCAAACATTTCTTCTCCAAAAGCTTCGAATGACTTCTTCCAAACAGGCCCTAAGAAGCCTAAAAGTTGTCAACAAAGGATGAGTAAAAAACAGAGAGATTATACCCAATTCTTTTCCCAAAATTTAAGGGCTCGATCTTGCTGGTGTCTAATGGTTGAAGCTAGATTTTCATCCTGCAAATCCAAAAGGTCCCCCTGGCAGCATACAGATGATGAGTACCATAGAATTACAGTGAGAAGTAAATATCTCTACCGTATATTCAACAATTTCTGGATGAACAAAAATATAATGGTCTTTGTAGAACAATAGATCACAACTTCCTTCACTTCTTTATACAAGACAACTTGTTTCCATATATTTACTGACTTCATTTTATTTAAGCTAAGTTTGGGGGTTGGGTTTTGGAGAGGATATCTCTAACTTCTGAATTAAAATAAAGTAAGTTCTATGATTTTATGGTAATAAGTAAATGATTGTGATGTTGAAAAATTAGCTTAAAGTAATAAATAAAAAAGTAAAAAACAAACACTCCCTCCACTAGCCCTTCAAAACCAAGATTCCAAACATAGCTTTGAAGATATCAAAAGGTATTACTTTACTAACTGAAGATGGAAGTGCTTCTATAGTTCTGTTGAAGTCCAAAATAATATTCTTAACACTTATCATATCTTTGGATCATGGAAAATGCTAGGCAAAGGAGTAAAAATAGCAAAGTTATTTTCTTTTGTTAGGATTTGTCTTCAAAAATGAAAAAATAACAACCTATATATATATATATAGGTTTTGGCTCAAATAAAAACACGATCTTAGGAGAGAAATCAGAATGAATCTGGACCGTTAGATTAGCTTTAAGTGAAATTAGTGCATCAGGTGAAATTGAAATGTGCAGCATAAATGGTACGATACAGTGGCATTATGTGAAGCTGAATTGTGCAATATGTGAAATTGAAATGTGCACTAGGCGAAACTGTAATGTGCAGAATAAAAGGTACGATGTGATGTTATATTTATACCTTTTATTCCGCACATTTCAGTTTCATTTAATGCACACTAGAGTTTAAATTTTTATTCTGCACATTTCAATTTGATCTTATGCACATTTCAATTTCATCAAATGCACAATTCAGTTTCACATAATACAATCCAACGGTCCAGATTCATTCTCATTTCTCTCCTGGGAGTGTTCTTACCGGAACCGCTCTATATATATATATATAGATTTATTAGTATTAAATCTAACATCATTTTTTAGTACAACCCAATGTTTTATATTTTTCTTCACATGCCCCATTTTATATAACTTTTCTGACTGGCCTTCTTTTCTGTTTTACACCCCATTTTATTTCCCAGTATTTTGAGTTCCAAATGTGACCTTAATGAACAACACAAGTGTAGTATTGTTTGATTAGAATGTAAAAACTTTTTATATGTAGTATTAGATTAAAATAGGTCTGAAGAACACATATGCAAACACCTCATTAGCTAGAAGCAAGCTAGTGCATTCCTCAGCACTTGGCAAAAAGTCACCATAGAGTTGCCAAAAGTTGTCTTTGCAATCAAAGGCATACAGAAGAAGGCATGCCAACCTAAGGTCCCAATCTGTCTGAATAGAAGTAAAGAACCAACACATTAACACAATTCAAACAACAGTTAATAAATAAATAATTTTAAAAATGACACAATTACATAAAATACTGCTTTTACCTCTGGATTTGTTGAGTTAATAATGTCAAATATAGGATGGCCAATAGGTATTATGTCTGGGAAAAACATCCAGGGAAGTTTTTGACTTATTGTTAACATCAACTCTAACGGGATTTCCATGATCATCTGCCATTATAGAATATATAAGGGTGCTTTCCTATAAATTTATGAAATTTAAACTCATTACCAAAATTCACTGCAAAATCACTAGGAAAATACCACTGTGGTCACTATAGTGTATAATTGAACATCATCATGGTCACTATAGTCATGTGAAAATACAACTATGATCAATGTACTTAAGAAATCATATATTCTTCCATTTTGTAGTCGTATATTTGTCAATAGTTCTTTCTATAACTAAAGTCAAAATAAAACAAAACATAATTAAAATGTTCGGAAAGGAAAATGAATTTAATGGGAAGTTTTGCAAAGCTCACACGGGCACGACGAAGAGGCTCAACGTCTTTGGAAGCGTATACTCCAAACCCACAAGGTCCTTCCCTGAACTCAACTCCATACGCTCTGAAGCTTCTCACAAACCCTATCCTGTAGAAATCGGGGTCTGCCAGCTCCAACTACTTATTTATTTATTAAGTGAGAGAAAGCAATTTAAATGTTTTACAAATCTACTCAAAGAATATTATTCAACTTAACTGCAACTGATTAACACAAAACATTACTACATGAAATCGCTAAAACACTATAAAGCCTATACGTTAATAGAGATCAAGAGATGGTATCGATTAAAGGGTTCTCTAATCTTTGAACAATTATTGCTTTAGGGTTTTCAGAGAGAAAAAAAAATAACCATCTTTTTAAATTGTAATTACTACCATCATGACATTATAAACTAGAGAATAATGCAAAACCAGTAATAAAGGCTCAACAACTAAAAAATAAGATGTGTAGTATGGAGTACATAAAAATCTCAAAAATAAAACCAATTCTGAATGATCACTCAAAACTACATGGGATATTGTCATCTGCTAGAAACATCAAATTTAGAAGATACCTCTTTAAATCCAACATGTGCTTACCATACCATATAATGTGAACAATGCAGACAAAAATAAGTATGCTGCTGATTAAGAATAAAAGATTGACACTGTGTTTTTTTTTGTAAATGGAGCCATACCACATACTCTAAAAGTTATGCCTCGGCATTAATGACAGATATAACATTCTACAAAATTTTCAAGATACATTCAATATCTGATGATTAATGAGACACTTAATTGAATTATTTTGTTGTTGGAATATCAAACATGGAGAATACTCTTTGATGGTTTAGTTATTTAATGGCTTAATGGTGCAAGAATACTCTTCATCCATTGATGCTCAACCATAGCTCTAAGGACTGTGGTTAGCAGGACCATTTTTTCTAAAAAAATGTCCAGATTAGAAGAGAGAACCTGAGAAGCAGGAGATTCTTCGGGCTGAGAAGGGGGTTCAAAGAGTGGAAACGAAAAAGGAGAAGAGTCAGGGGGCTCGAGAAAAGTAGCTGTAGTTGAAGAAGCATCAACGACACTGGCAGCTCCAGTAGCAGAAATTTCAGCTCTGATAATTGTTCTATTTCTTCTTGCAACAATAGCCTGTTTACAGTAAACTAAAAGCTTAATCAATAGCAGAAGAACGAGAAGAGAAGGTCGAGAGCATTCGGGCAGAGACCGCTGACCAGGCGGTGGAGCAGCCGGCTCCGATGGCGGTTGTTCAGGGAGACAGGAAAATGGGACAGTCGCTGAATCAGAGTAAAAGACGCCATTATTATTTTTTCCCAGAAATTCGAGAGTTAAAGACTTGAAATTATGATTCTTTACAATTCTTCCTTCCTATGGCAGCTTCCATTGGAGCCTCACGTTTATCCATCCAGAAAATTTTCCTGATCTTGTACATTGTATTAGTTGTATGCATTATGCTTGTATAAGTTAGATCCTCCCCTCCAATTCGCATTATCTACATTTTTTGATAAATCTGCATTATATACTAGTGATTTTATGTAAGAGGTTTTGCTTAAAATATTAATGGAATGTATTTTAAGATAAGTGTCTCACTTGATGATTTTAGTTGTCTCACTTTCACTTGATAGATAGAGTATAAGTCACAGAAGGGAGAGCTAGAGAGAAAAGTGAGTTGTATTAATGGAAGAGACGCTCGGCGGACGGAGACCTCTGGTCGACGGGGGCACTGGCTGACGGAGGACAAGTCTTCTCCTTGGCTTCTGGAGCGTATTCCGGGTTGGCTCTTCTTTGGCCGATGGGGTGTCATCTGGCCGACGGGAGGGCCCACTGGATGACAGTTGTGCTCCTCTTAGTCTTCTTTGTATGTGCGTCATGTGGTCTGGACCCATATACTCCATCAAGTGTCAAATTTCTTCTTCTTTTAAAATAAATATGTGGTTCAAAATATTTCATTTTACTATACTCACATTTCAACCATAATTTTTATTTTTTTCAACCACTTTATTAGTAGTTATATCAAACCAAAACAAGACACATAAATTAGGACGTGATGGAGTTTAATCCAACTACGAGAGCTAAATTTAACAAGATCTTAGAATATGGCGGTATAAGGCGGTATTATTATTATTTAGAACAATGAATTTTTTATTCCTCTCAAGGTATTTACAAGAGGTATTTATAGCCTTTAGGAACTAGTATTCTAGAAGGAAACTACTTACATTTAATGTTATTAATTCTACATTAGTTCGAATAGAACTCCTATGGCGCCCCGGCCACCGTGCAATGATTATCTTCTTCAAGTCCACGTTTCATATTGAGTCATGTCTGCTGTCAAATAGTTATGTTCAAATAGTAACCTGCCACGTCAACCCTAGGAATATCCTGGCCTCACAGGAACTCCGCCCAGGCTCGAGGCTTGTCTGTCCCGCTCGCCCTGGCTGTGGGTTCCTCCCGTGGGCTTGATCCCTAATCGGGCCTTCTACTTTACTTACCACAAACCCCATTAAGGGTTGATCCCGTTATGGGTTGGACTATGTAATTGTGCCATGGTCAGAATCCATGGTACCATCACGAGCCCCCCTACTCTGTAAAATCAGCAGAACTGGATTTTGGGAGAGTAAGTTGAGTGGTTTAATCAGTTTCAAATTTCGAATTTTCTTAGGTGTACTATAGCGTCACTTCGCATTAATTGCGGGCAACACGTGCCTGGTACGAGCCCTCAGCCTGACAGGACTCCCAATCCATCTTTCTACCTACAGTACTCGAGTGCTATGATCGTGAATTCCAAGCGGTCCCCTAGCCCTAGTTTTTTTATTATTTACATGCCTATCGTCCCCCATAAATCTCTTCTGCAATCTCATTTTGTTTGGCCCTTCATCTTATTGGCTAGGAACCCTAAGCCACACAACTCCCTCCTTCCGCCTTCAACTCCATCAAGTTAGTCCTTCTGATGTCTTCTTCAAGTTCCGTTCCAATGCACCATGTGTTCCCTGATGAAGGGGCTACACTAAGTTAGCCCCGAATTCCGGTGGACTCAGATGGGAGGGAAACTCATTTCTTCCTTTCTTGCGAACACGCCCGACAAGTCTCAACCGTGGTTCTTTCCGATGCCGAGTTTGGTGAGGCGGTGGCCCTTGCGGGCCCCAGCGTCGTTTGCTCCTGCCTTTCTCCTGGACAGAACATTGTAGATCCTCCTTCCCCTTTTCATTTCGGGGTTCATTTAGCCAGTTTGCAAGTAGGCCTTCGCTTCCCGTTACATAATGCCCATTTGAACGTCATGAGTTATTATGGCATGATTCTGGGTCATTTCTCCCCAACTACTCATATGTTCATCGCTTGGTTCATCGCTCGATGCACTCACCTACAAATTCACCCCGTCCTCGATCTTTTCCTCCATTTTTTCCACTCCGTGAGACCCGGTGCTTCTGAATCCCCGGGTTATCTTTCAATTTCCCAACAGGCTGGCCATCGTTTGTTTGAATCCAAATCCTACCCCGATTCCTTCAAGGGATGGAGGCACAAATGGGTTTGGGTTACTCCCACGAATGGTAAACTTCAATTTGAGAATAGATGGGGGGAATTAATCCGGAAATGGGTAATGTCATTCTTGTCGGAGGGAAACGCTGAAGCTGCTAAGATGATTGCTGATGGAGTGCCCTTCTTGATGGGGCATTACGTAGGTGAGGATGGACCGATGGAGTAGTGATGCTTTCATATTTGCCAGGTCGATTACACCCGATTTGGTGTTTTGTTTACCTTATTGCACGTCCTGTCACATTAATACTCTTTTTACCTTGATGCAACGGGCGATAAGATGGCCTCCCGGTTGGAACAACTTGCTGCCAAAGCTGGGGCTGCCCCCGATTCCCTAGTTCTTCTGAGGAAGATCCAAACCAGGGGAACCGTTGGGGTCGCCTCAACGAAGTCGGGGGAATCCACCCCCGGAGACGGTGCTGGGACTCTGAATACGCCGATCGTTGACCTTCAGCCCCCCACTGACAAGGGGGTTGGGAAGAGGCTGGCACTCCGGCCCGTCTCCGGGCCAAAGAAGAGAAGAAAGGCCGCCCTGAAGTCTACTAAGAATGTAGTTGATGTTGATTCCGACTCGGATGCCCAGTCCCAGGAAGGTGGCAATCAAGGGAAGGTCCCGGCACCTATCCATACCGTCCGCCTCTCCATGAAGTCGGGTTCCACCTCTCTATTCCGTCGCACTTTGAATCTTGTGTCCTTGGGCTTAGCAATCACCCCCCGCGCGGTGTCGAGGAGGTGGAAGGTTTATCTCCCCGGACTGCAGTTCGGCGGGCTGTCCATGCCATCTTTGAGGTACGTTCCTTTCTCTGAATCTTCTGTAACAGATGCTCCCTCTAGAATGGGAAGTGTAATCCCTTACCTGTGAGATTCCTCCATTTTCAGGCTTTTATCCTTGCATCTTCCAACTCCCGCCGCCTGGATGAGGGACACGACGATTCCTAGGGCCTGGTTGCCAATCTGAGGAACCAGGTGACCAACCTGGAACAGAGGCTAGCCACGGTGGAGATGGGACGTGTGATGGTGGTGAAGGAGGCTGGTTCACTGCAGAAAAGACTGAGTGACGTGGAGGCCGCACATCGGATCATGGAGGGAGGGCTAAGAAAGAAAGCCGAGGAGGCCGGTGCGGCTGCTGTTCAGGCCTTTCGAGAGAGCGCAGACTTCCTCGCTGAAGTGGAGCAGCTCATCCTGAGCCGTAGGACACAGATAGCTCAGGACTAGCTCCAGAATTCTGAGGGCGATGCCAGGCTGGATGAGGAGGGGGGCCTGTGCTTTCAGCTGGGACAATACGGGATGCAGAAGTCCCTATATGATCTCCTCCAGAGAAGAGACCCCTCTTTCTCCGCCCAGGCCTGGGCACTTCCAGAGCCAATGGAGAATCCGGAGGCTGCCGATGATAGCCCAACCCTGGCAGTTCCAATTTCTGAATTCCCCCGTGCCCAATCCGGTAACTAACCTGACTTTTCAAACACTTCTATGAACATCTTTCCTAGGCCTGCGTGCATGCAGTTGTTTTCCACCAGTGGGGTGGTTTGTAATTCAAACATCATTACATTCCGTTTTAATTCTGCACACACCTATACATTACTTCCTTCTGACCATCTTGCCCGATTAACTTGATCTGTTTGGTACCTTGATTCTTGTTGGCGGCTTTCGGCCCTATCCGAGTTGGCTTCTTCCCTTGGATCCTTTTATCCTCTGGGAGGTTGATCTGTGTTGTCTATAAGTCCTTGGATGGCTCTTAGGTCTTCCTGATCTTCTGTATTCAATCACATGTGTCTATTGCATGTATTTGCCTTGAATTCTCGGTCAAGGTCGCCTTTTCTTTGTTAAGGACGACATTATCAATTTCAAACCCTTAGGCTCTTAGTAATTGAGCCAGGTCGGGTGGGCTTCCTTTTAGGTTGCTTTGACCTAAACAAATGTGTTGGTCCCGGTTGTACTGGATACAGTCTAGAGGGGGGTGAATAGACTGTATTGGTTTTTAACTTTTTCAAGCTAAGTAGTAGATTTAACAGAATAGCCTGTTCTGTTGACAAAACAGACTGGCAGCGGATGGGGTTCTGAAAGGGGTGTTCTGTTAGTAGCCTCAGAGGAGCAAAGGCAGTAGGCCTTCTGTTAACTCACAAGACCAGTTCTGCTGAACACAGATACCAAGTCTTTGGAGTTAGACAGTTCAAATAAAAACAATGAATGTAAAGCAGTAAGTAAATGACACCAGGGCTTTTTATAGTGGTTCAAGGAACAACTTGTTCCTCCAGTCCACTGTTCCACTAAGCTCGTAAAAACTTCCGTTTACAATGCCTTAGCCCTATCACTTAAGAAGCTCTCCACGTCTTCTTCAAGTGTAGATGTCTTCTTGGATGCACTTCCGGCTTCCCTAAGACTCATCCTTTCACTGAGCTTTCCCAGAAGTATCACCACTTCACAGCTCCAGGTACTTGGATGTCCTTCTTGTGAAAGAAGATGTTCTATTTAGAACAGAGGTTCCTCCAACTTGCTTCGTTACAAAGGATTTGTATGTGATGAGCTTGAAGAGTTGAAGAACACTTGGAACTTTGCTTGAGTTGGAAATAAGGATTTTTCCAACTTCTGCCTTCTCTTGTAGAGGATGATGAAGTTTTAATCTCAAGGAGGCTTTTTGCGTTTTTGGCGTTTTAATATCTTGTATGCTGAGTTGTAGCAAAAGTTAGCAAAGTTCTGTATTTTTTGGTTGTTCTTCGTAATGTATCTTTTATATTGGGGTTGTCTTCCCGTTGGAGGAGGAGGAGGACAACTGCATTAAATGAGCGAGCAGTTGACTTGACCAGTAGGACCCGGTAAAGTTGGCGGGTTACTATTTTGGGATAAGGTAATCCTGACATTGCGGCCAATCATCTGCAATTACTCTACAGAGTACGGGAGGCATTAAATGTGCATTTAATGCACGTACTGTAGCTTTTCCGTTCAAGACTCCTAG